CATTAGAAAACAACAGGCCTGGATTATTGGTAAGAGCCTTAATATGTCTTAATGCACCGACAAATCTGCTGCTCTGCTCGATCCACCTGCGTCAGATAACAGCCATAACGCTCTGGATATGTAGGTGTTGCTTTGCCGGAATGTTCCACAATATGCCATCCATAAACTGTGTGTTTCTTGAGAGAGATTCTACACAAATCACAATAGTTGCTGCACCACTACAGAGTGTAAATGTTACAATGCAAACAGCTTCAGCTTCAAACAAGGGTCTAAATCCAAGAAATGTATTTAAAAGGAAAAAACAAGACAAAGCAAGATCTTTGAAGTAATAATTTTTCTTCCTCCCACTCCTTTTTGAGTTTGAATAATGTACAATCTTGTAATTAGTAAGTGTAAATGAATGATTTGCGAGAATATTCTATGGAGTGAAAGTGCGGCATGGAGCTGCAAAGTGGGCTGAAGTTTACAGAAGTCAAATTCTCCATTCTAAAACACATGGACGACGCTAACCCCTTAACTCACCTTAATGAAGTGCTCATGAATAAAGTTTTGCTACAACTTGCCCCAGCTTCCATTAACTTACGCTGAAAAGTAGCCTCATTGAGTAGTCCTCGTCATTTTCTGTAGATTGGCGCTCTCTATGATACTGTTTACTGTAATATTGTCTTTGTATATCCAGATTGTAGCCATATAAGGATTGACCATTCAGATTCCTTCATTCATGGGAGAAACGCCAGCTTGTTTTAGCAACCATCTTAGCAACACGTCTGCCCCTGTTGTTGCCATCAGAACAAATGCCCATATAAGGAAAATGGCTCCAGCTAGCTTATGATCAAAGTGGCTTCTTCCGTATTCTGCAAACACTAGGATGACACCAGCATCGGGTCAGTCCAGTACTTACATATGGTCTATGTTCTAGAAAAAAACAAACAAAACATTATTATATATCCAGAGCTGCACGGTGGCTGAGTAGTTAGCGCTTCTGTGTGTGAATCTTGGTCAGAACATGGTCTTTCTGAGTTTGCGAATTCTCCCGTTGTTATGTAGGTTTCTTCTGTGTATGGAATGAGAAAAAAAAACCCTCAACATAAAAAACAAATACTAATAAAATTAACAAATGAATTCCAAAGGTTCTTAGCTTTACAATGCATGGTATTACATTGACTATATTGGTGAAGCTGAAGCTGGCTGGGTGACATTGGGGACTGATTCAGGCTTGATTCAATTCAATTCCATTTCAATGTATTCTTGTATGTCCCTAAATCACAATTGTAGTTATCTCGGAAGACTTTACACAACCGTTGAATTCGCCAACACAGATCAGAGAATCAAACAGATAAAACACAACAAATAGAACAGAAAACACATTGGTATTAGTCCATAAGGGGCAGATTAACTATTTTTTTTAAATAAATATCCATAAATGTTGTTGAAAGTCCTGGATCATCACCACTGTCCTTTTAGTTAGACCTCACAAGAAGCAGCTATAAAAATAATAATATATGATGCAGGTTTCTTCTGGAGGACTGGCGACCCCATCAAGGAAAGCATGGACCTAAACTAAACGCTTTTGGTCGTCTCTCTTCACCTGTGTGGATTAGCGGGGGATATTGGTGAGAGTGCTGTGCTGTCTGCGGGTGGCTTTAATAACAGAGGCCTAAGTCGGTACATTAGAGAGAGGATTAAAGAGAACAAGCAGTGAGGTGCGAGACCATAGCTGCAGTCCAGACCCAAGAAAGTTAAAACACGCCTCATATAAACTCAATGTAATACCGTCAAAGCAGATGTCAAATCTGGGAGGTATAAATCGGCAGAAAAAAATGATCAAATTGTTTTAGATTAGGAATTATACATGTTGTGTGTGAAACTGGAAAAAAAATTAATGAAAAACAGCCTGTGAAATAGCTCAAGCAGTCATTGAGTTCACACCTCAATCTTTGTACAGCACGACGCAAAATGGATTTTTTTAGTTTTTTGTTCGTATAAAGGAACTTGTCACCTGCAGGAGGATCAGTGAGGGGCTGGTGCTTTGTGAATTGGGTCGGATTGCCAACCCCCGGACCCAGAAATGGATCAAGCGGATGAAAATGGATTGATGGATGGATGGATAGTTTCAACACTGGAAAAATCCCTTGAAAAAATGTATGAAAACAACTAAAATACTGCTTAAAATAAGAAAAATGATCTGCCAATAGAACAAGAAAATATAACATAAGATTTCTGAACATAAGAAAATAATTCTCGGCCCAAATGACTTGATTCTAGTATAAAAACATACATATGAAGTATTTAGTTATTTATTAAACATTTTTGAGGAACGTTTTCTTAAAATCTCGAAAAACGTGTAGCTCTCGAGCTACAGGTTGGAGACCCCTGGTTTATAGTCTATGACCATTACCCCGTCTGAAAACATATGGTGCCATCAACTAGGTATGTTTTAAATGTGTGGTTTGGGGAAGGATTTGATTTTGATGCATTTACCCACACACTTTTCTGACAACATCCACAACTGTTTTAACTCAATAACAGTCAAGATTCAAGAATTTTATTTGCCATTTGCAGTAAAACCACATTGGAAAAACTGTGCAAGACTTCCCCCGGGGTGCACCAGTACAACAAAAAAGTCGAATTACAAGTATAAAATATTGAACAGAAAACGGTAATATATTTTCAAGGCACAGTGACAAAGTGGCTTACGCTCTCACTCCTCAGCTCCGGGGTTCGAATCCCGGTCGGAACGGGGCCTTTCTGAGTGGAGTCTCCCCGTGTCTGCTCCGGTTTCATCCGGTTTCTTCAACCACTAAAAACATATTCAAAAGGAAAAATTCTCCAACTCTGGTCCTGACCAAGCTGAGCATCAACAGCTGGAGATAGTACTGTGACCACTGCTCCTGGCCCTAGTGGCATTGAAGAACGGGTCAAATGCAGAGTACACAATTCCTTCCAGGGACATTTTTTTTTCTATCTATACTTTAATAATAAACCATAAAGTTATAAAATATCAAAAACTGTTAAATTATTAGCTACAACAGAGTGAAGCTTGCTTACTTTTCAAACTGAGAACATGGAGAATATATCAGACACAAGCACCCGTAAGACCCGCCCCCACAGGTTCCTGATTGGATGCAATGAAATCCGTGAGACACTTGAAGCCTCTCACCATTGGTAGGTTTCTTGCGTTTAGTATTTCCAATCCTTGCCGATGGTGAAGCTTATCCCAAGGGTAAGGACCGTTTTAAATATTTATTATGAAATATAGATAATGCTACAGGGTCACATGGTTGAAATTATGTATTCTTTTCAAAACGAAAGAAAAAAGCAAAAACACTCATTTCATTGTACAATAAACCTTTAATAAATAGTTTGTCATTAGTTTCCCATATGTACAGAATAATAACCGCTGCTTTTGTTGCCATTTCTCGTTTCTTGGCTAATTTTAGGCACACAGAGAGGGTCCAGGCCACACATCACCACATACTAAAAACAGGAGTGGCCAGAGCAGGTGAAGTCCTCAGAAATATAGATATATCTGCCCCATTTCACCAGACACACAGAAGTGGCCTTTTTGGAGCTTAAACTATGTACATTTGCAAGTATAGATGGTTTTGTACATCGTTTTCAAGTTGCAATGATTACAAAACTATAGAAATTATTTGAAAATTTGCTTGCGGATTGGTCCAAGAGATCGAGAACAAAAGTTTAAGTCGTGCCCCTGTATAAATAATGTCTGTATTTAGAAACCAGAAGCAAAAACGTACAGTATTGAGAGTTTTTAGGGTAAAGCTGAAATGCTGGTCAAATCAATGTCATTTGTAACTGCCGGAAATCGCAAAAGAGCTTTAAAAATGAGCAAAATAAAAAGCAAAAAAAAAATACAGCCAAAGAAAATAAGACACTCAAACACACGCGTACATATAGTCATGGTACAAAAACAAAAATTAAAAACAAACATTTGGCACATAATAAACAAACAATGGTGGATGCTATGAAGTGTTTCTGTCCTTATTGGGTTATAGTGGTTCAATGCACTTGAGGCATTTTTTGGGAATCATAATTGTTCACGAGAAAACTAATATATATAGAAACAGGAGGTCCTTATAGAAATGAAATCAATTCAACAATAGAAAGCTACTTTATAAGGACTTCATAATTTTCATATTGTGGGAGTTTAAACGTAGGCCAATGCTAGGGCTCCCTCTTGTGGAGACAGATGTGTATTGGCGGCAAGACTGAATGGCATAAAAAAAAAAAAAAAAAAAAAGACATGGTCCTCTGTGTTTCTTCTTTAAGTGTACTATGGCGGCAAGTGCAATATCTTAAAAGAGTGGGCGTTCAAACTGTAGCAGGTGAGATCGAAGCAGTGAGGCTTTTAACTATCGTCTAAGCCTAAATAATAAACGGAAACGTGGGGAATGAAATAAAAGGCAAACGTTTGTAACTGCTCGCATTGGAGCAACAGCTTAGATATAGAGCCGTCAGACCTCAGTCTTCATACAGGTCGTGTCAAATTCACTTCAAGGCAACGATTTTCTCAAATAAAAACATGAAAATCACGACAAGCCTTCGGTTTTGGAGCAGAAAATATAATACAAACCAACTGTACTCAATCTAATGGCAAGTAAACATTGAAAAAACGGTTTTTATTAAAGTGGTCTTATCCGCACACCTCAGTGAAAAGAAGTGTTTTCATATTATAGAAAATGCGGTCTTCTCCGGATCGGGCCTGGACCGGTTCACCTCATCGGCTTTGTGTATCGCACTGAACTTGAGATATTGTCGGTCTGTTGCAATCCCAATGACGGACACAAATTAGAGAGAAAATACACTGGGATTTAGTAACAATCGCCTTTTACCCGACGCCTCACACACGCTGCTGCAATCCCTGTTCGCACCAGTAGAGGGCATAAAGGCTCCAGTTTTAAACAACTGCAGGAGTCAGGTCTCATTGGGAAGTGTTCGCTCTGCTCCAAACAGGCCTCGAGAGTCTGTTCCTCGTGTGGTTATACACTACTGTCCTCCAGCAGCGGTTCTTTGCCCTCTGCGCCGCTCCCTTGGGGACTGTGGGAGTGGCTCTGGGCCCCGTTGCTGTGCTTCTTGTAGGCGCCGGGCCTCATGCCGGGTCCCGTGTGCTCCGGGATGAACAGGGCCACGAGGAGCGAGAGCAGCACGGAGCAGGCGCCGAAGAGGAACGGGGGCCCGGGGATGATGGCACTCTGCGGATACACATCGGCGTTTAAACAACATCGGTTTGTATAGAGCAGCCATTCCCAAACTCAGTAACACCGAGGCCCCCTTAAAAATCTGACGGGTCTGCGTGGCCCCCCAAAATAATAACCAAGAAGACAACATTAAGAATAGGCTCTTCTGGTTATTCTATTTTGGGGAAATAGCCTCTGCTACAAACATTGTAATACAAAAATGATTACAGTGGATTATTCAAGTCAAATAATGAACACAAATATTTTAATATTACAAACAAAACATTATAAATTTAACATTAAATAATTATATTATTATTCTTTTTTTTTTTTTATGACCTCCCGCGGCCCCCCTGCAGTACCCTCGCGGCCCACCAGGGGGCCGCGGACCCCACTTTGGGAGACACTGGTATAGAGAGTGGAGGACATGAGTTTTGCAGTCTTTGGATCTGTTCTACTGCACTGTCAGATCGCCAAACCAGCTCACGCTACAAAAAGTCAACGTAACACTTTGCGGAGGAGAGAAAAGGAGAGGATGAGGAGAGGACAAGGGGTGAGAGGGTGGAGAGGATGGGGGAGAAGAGAGGAGAGGAGGAGATGGTGGGTGGAGAGGACTTTGGAGAAGGGAGGAGACTAGAAGAGAAGAGAGGAGGAGAAGACAGACAGGGGAGAAGAGGAGAAGGGAGCAGAAGGGAGGTTAGAGAGAGGAGAGAAGACAGAGAAGGAGAAGAGAAGGGAGCACATGGGAGAAGAGAGAGAGAAGAAGAGGAGAGGACAGGGGAGAAGGGAGCAGAAGGGAGGTTAGAAGAGGAGAGATCAGATGGCGGGAGGAAAGGAGGGAGGAGAAGAGAGGGAAGGAGAGAGCAAAGGAGAAAAGAGAAGGAGCCAAAACAGGGCAGATTTCTTGCCTGGGAGTCTAAACTTTCAGCCACATTTGAAAGTCACACTTCTTACCTCGTCAGTGGGGTTGGCCATGTTGGGTTTGGCACCTTTGTCGGAGCCGTCGGTGTCGCTGAGCTCCACGTGGAAAAGGTAGAAGACGAAACCGTAAAGAGCGGGACCCAAACCGTTACAGAGACCGCGGATCCCCGTGATCATCCCCTGCACCACTCCTGCCACAGGGAAACATCATACATCAGTCATTTGAGATCTGTTGTTTCTGCTGATAAAACACACTTCAATACTTCATATTTTAAATCCATAGAAACAGAACCTTAGAATGGAAATGTACTGACCAAGAAGATGTGGAATTTGGTTTGTTTCATAAACGCTTTTGGCTATTTTTATTTAACCAAAAACAGTCACGCCAGCGATGAGATGTATTATTGGTGTTTACTGTAACATGAATAATTCAGGCCTTCGGGCAAGTACCATTTATATTTTACTTGCCAATGTCAAAAGTTACATGCCCAAATATTTATCAATACAATAAGTTAACAAGAGATTGGCAATAAAGTGGCACTAACTGTAGCCAAAAAAGTCAAATAATGACTCCCAGGGCTCTTAAGTATGCAAAATAAAAAACAAGACGCCTGTCGTGGTGTTTTCTGCTACTTTTGTGGACAACCAACACGCATTTTTAATGCAAGGGGAGATTTAGGTACCTGAACTTTGATTTTGTGAGGTTTGGTTTCGCATAGGTACAACAAGCTGGGGAGTGTCCTGAACGTGTATCAATAGTTCTGTCCGCGCTTCTATGGTCCGCGCGTCCATGGTCCGGTCCGCTGGTCCGCGTTTCTATGGTTCTATCCACGTGTGTCTATGGTCCGCGTTCTGTACCATGTTATGGCAGTGCGTTCACTGAGCTGTCAAAGCGACTGTCATTACAAAGCGGCCGCAGCTGCTCCCGGGGTCAGAGCGGAGGATGTAAATCCCGTTCGAGTCCGTACAGCAAACAACAGAGTTACCGCGGTAATACATTTCAAGGGTGAAAGGGTTTAGAACAGGCATGTCCAAACTCATGCAGGCCCGGGGGCCAATTGCGGCCTTCAGTGTCATTTTCTGTGGCCCTCTGCCTTGCTAACCCAAAGTAGTTAGTAGTGGTAATAGTAATAGTGCTAATGTAGCTGGTGAGATGGTAAACATTTATCATTCAGCCAACTTCTCTGTTACAGATCATCATAAAGCTCAGAACAGGCCAATGCCAGTTTTTCAGTCCATGATATCGGCCCCTGGACTAGTCTGGTGAACTAAAGTGACCCTTTTACTAACAAGTTTGTTTTAGAACATGCTTTAGGATTTTATGTATAAAAAAGGTATTAAAAAGGTCCCTTATTAGTTTTCTTACATGTACTGTTTTAGGGCCCCGCTTATATACAAAACACTTACAAATCACAAGAATTAGTGAAGTGTATGGAGTTTTATAGATGCTTTGTAAGTAAAATTTTAAATATAATTGAATTGCAGCTAACATGTGAAACTGAATGTTTTTGTTCCACAATGATAAAGATAAAAGTTGTCCGCAGAAGAGTGTGTTCACTTACCCTGTTGGTCGGGGTCTGCGTTGCGGGACACTATGGCGCTGATGGCGGGGAACGTGATGCTGGACATTGCAGCGACGGCACCGGCCGCCCACATCATCCTGAAACATCACAAAACTTTAGATAAAAAAAAAAACTCCAACACAAATAGAACGTGTTGACAAATACAAAATTCTAATCTTGCAGAATCACAACGAGGGCCGTCTCAGTGTAACACACACACACAAAATGTATTGACGTTCGCACAAGCTGTGAGCCAATTATCAACATTTGAACTTGAATAAAAGCTTGATATATCTCACTGTGGATCAGGTGAAAATCCACTGGAGGAATGCTAACTTTTTGAAAAATGCTAATGATGCATTTAGCATTTTAATTTGGACTAGAGCAGAGAAAATGGTCCGAACCAAGCGTCTACTCCAACCAGAGGCTACTCCATCTCTGCTACTGTGACCCGTGCTGCTCCACCCACAGGCTACTCCACCTCTGCTGCTGTGACTGAAGGGCTATTGCTGATTATTACTATTGTTAGCTTTTTAGAATGATACATTTTATCTTTATTTCTGTTGCTACTGGACACCTGGATCAATGAAGTATCTATCTATCTATCTAAACATAGACCCACTCCAAATAAACTAAAATAAATAAATGCGATTGTTTTTTGTTTAAATTCACTTGTTCTGAAATTTTTTTCTCCAGTTGGCTCACAAGATATTTCAAGTCTTTGGTCAAGACAAGTCAAATCTGTGTGATCCTAAAGTATGAGTATCTGAGTATTTGGGTGAAGTTACTGACCAGGGCTGCGAACCGAAGCCGTACCAAGCGAGCTGCAGGATCTGGAAGCCAAGGCCTAAGAGAATTGTGTTTTTGTGTCCTATTGACCGCATCAGGATCCCCAACACCACCGTCTGCAAACATCATCCAAAATAGATTAGGTAAAGCATCATATATTGTCATTTTGAACAGAAGAAGGAACATGAAAATAAACTCTCTAATAACATTCTATTGAAAACTGACAACACATTTCGCATTAGCAAGAATTGCTACATCACAACTGTTCTACGACTTCTACAGTTTGAAAATGAAGCATTCATACCTGTGCTAAAATGGAGAGAATTCCCACCACAGCTATAAAGGCAGCTACTGTCTCTGATGAGAAACGTATTACCTAAAAAAGGACGAGAAGCAACACAGGTCAGTCCCCGCTCAACCATGGAAACATATTTATTCCCATTTTTTATGCAAGTATGACATGATTACAAGTTTTGAATGTGAGCTGTGGTCATGAACGGGTTGCCAGAATAGCCAGTTAAATAAGCACTTTCTTGTGATGCTTTTAATTTGTTGGTCATTGGTTCAGTTTTTTCATAACTAGTCCCAAAGGAAACCACACAATGTCTATAACTTATTAAATGCAAATGCTTTGAGCTTTTCTTCCTTGTTCACTTTGAAAAATATGATGAAAGGACCATAGGCATTCGTGTATGGAGTGAATGAATAACAACATGTGAAGCGTCTTTGAGTGTCCAAAAAACGCGATATAAAACCGATGCATTATTATCATTATAATATATATTATTACACATGTGAAAATATAGAAGTTAACTGTTGAGGGATATGAACTAGTTAGATGGTTTTTAATACATTGTTTTCTTGGTGGTTTGAAAAGTTAGATACCCCAGCTTTCATGAAGACAATAGCTAACAGATACGAGTTTGAATGAGAAAGGAAAAATGATATCTTGAGTCTTTAAACAAGGAGAGATTAGACAAAGTAAGGGGGGTGTGGTGTGGTAATACAACACTTTTTGTGAATAATTGCGAGAAAGACCATCATGTAGAATCATCTTAAACTGACAGAAGTTATAAGAACACCATTTCAAAGCTGTATAAATGATGCGTTGCCATGGACTACACATAGTGAATGGACTGAGCCAGTGCTGTGATGTCACCGTACGGTTTGCCAAATGCAGAAGAAGCAGATTTGAACATACAAAGCAATAAGCTAGCTGGAGCCAATTTCCTTATTGGAGCATTTGTTCCGACAGTGCAAGCTTTGGGCCTTAACGGGCAGATGTGTTGCTCACATGGTTGCTGAGGCAAATGAAGGCATCCGATTGGTCAAAGGCAATATCAATATATAAACATCAGGATCATAAAGAGCAATAAACCACAATGTTTTCTAGAGATCAAAATGGTGCTAGGAGGGGTTTACTTTTCAGAGTGAGCAAAACTTCGCCCATGAGCACTTCTCTTTTGGGCTTTATTGAGCTTGTGGTTCAGCATTGTCCATCTATGTACAGTCTTTGAGCTTTGCTGATCAAGTTAGAGACTAAATGTGTGTGAGGGGGGGGTGTCTGCAACGTTGCTCCATTAGTCCTGAAGCGAAACCACAGCTTCACATCACCAGACATCAGCAAATGGAAAAAATGTATCTATTTATCAAACGGAAAAATCCTTGAGATACCCAGCTCGTTTTAAGAGGGCACTCGGAAAATATGAACGCAGTTACAGAAAAACCTATTGAACGTGAGAACAGAGGGGAACAAGGGTTATACATTTGGACAGTTCAAGAAATAGACATTCAGCCTTTTTGTGTATTTTGTGCGAGGCTATTGGCATTTCATCAATTCACTTTTCATTATTACAAACTGGAATCCTTTGAATAATTGCAAGCAAATACAGAAGAGCATGTGTACCATTCAGGGTGGCTACATGATCTGAATACATGAATCATGAACAAGCATGATGTATAACTAGGTAAAAGTAACAAAAAGGCATTCATTCGTTAGTTTATGGACTTATTATTTTGACTTAGGTTTAGTAGGGATGGGATGTAGGGATGGGATGTAGGTTTATGGTCAAATAGATTGGATTCACCAGTGCTTTAATCATAAAATATTAAAATACCTTATTAAATCATGTTGTGACCAGTTAGAACAGTCATATATTGCCTTTCTTTAACACCATCAGCAGTTGGTTAGGTCTCAAATCACATGAATGAACATGAAAATCCAAATATGGCTTATATGTGGACAAAATGTACTTTCTTTTCAAATTCAGCTGGTTTGGCTTAAATACAGGTGCACCTAATCGTCAACAGATTTACTGATTATGGATGTGCAAACTTCCTTCATGTGTCTGGAAAGGTGAAAATGATCTGATAACAACAAAACAATACAACAGTCACAGTGGGGCGGGTGTGGCCCTGAAGTGCCAAACTGCCGTTGTGACCTTAGGCAAGATACTTCACCCACATTCCTTAGGATGAGTCGTGTGTATGTTTGAATAGTTGGTGGTGGAGGGGTCGATGCCAGGTACTGGTTGCTTCACTTCATTGTGTCAGTAGTAGTTTATCACCTCCGTGTTTGGAGTGAAAGGAAAATGACATGTGAAGCGTCTGAGTGTCCAAAAAAGCGCCATATAAAACCGATGCATTATTATTATTATTATTATTATTATTATTATTATTATAGGTGCCGTTAGTTACTGCAAATGTATTCTTAAAAAAATTATGTTTTTCACCTCCTAAACCTGTATCATTTTATTTTACAGCATAAGATTTGCTGGAAAAGAACTGATAAACCAAAGGGGAGAGAGCTTGTCAAGGATTATTTCAATGTTTTGTCCCATCATGAAGCAGAGCATCATCCATTTTTTTCTTTTTCCTTCGTTGGGCCCTGGGAACACTTGGTTTGCATGTTTGTCTGAGCACAGCCACAGTGAGTTGAGTTTTTAAAGCCGTTTTCAATGAGGAGGCATTTGCGTACCTGTTTGAGATAGAGGAAGAAGCTGGAGTACTGGCCGGCTTCAGGGAGGTAGGACAGGAACACCGTAATACAGATGAGCAGCACCGTTGAGTCCTGGCCCACTTTACGCAGAGACTGAAGACGAGACACACGCCCCAGATCAGAAATATTATCAACTCGGGTGTATTTTAGATCACATCACATCACTTCAAGTGTTTGAGTGAGACAAGGACAGGGACTGTTGACGTTGTGCAGGTGCAGTATAGACCACTCAATTCAATGTATTTTTGTAGGGCCATAAATCACAACAGCAGTTGTTTTGGAAGACACTAAAAAGAGTAGAACAAATGTGATTGTAAAAAGTAGAATCTAATCCCACCCAGAGACAAAATGTCTCTGAAGCAGGGGTATCAAACTGGTTGCAGAAAAAGCCGGTGTGGCTGCAGGATTTAATTGTAAAATTAGCAGGAGCACACCAGACCCCACCCATTTCCTCAAATCTTCAGGTTAAAACTGGACTCACTTGAGGAAATGGGGTGGAGCCTGGTGTGCTCCTGCTCAGATTGGAACTAAAACGAGGACTTGATTTGACACCCCTGCTCTAAAGCCTTTCAAAAGGTCACGGTTATATTTCATCCTTCCTGACCGCCAGAGGGTGGTGCATAGCACTGAATGTTCCCTGTGCATGCATGAAATGGAACATGAGGGTTCGTTATAGAGATGTTTTGCTCATCACTGAGTGTGTTCACAAAGCACAAGTGAAAACTGGATTCTCCGTCAACGAGAATGTAAAACGATTGATAAAAGCGCATGTAAACCTGTGCGTGGCAATTGAGAAGTGAAAAAAAACAGTCCATTCTGAGAAGCTGGTGCTGGTGCGGTTGAGCTGCATGTAAAATGTGTTCAGCAGATGGAATGAGACATGTCTTATGTTTTCTGTTTCTGTCTCTAGTCAAATAATGACATCGGGCAGTGATGCATTTGTGCGCTCATGGAAAAGCCAGGCTTGTATTAGAAATGTATGTATTTGGATGATAGAGGTGCCGCACTAATGTTGTTTGGGATCAACAAACCAGCTTTTTCTCGTGTGTGTTTTGTTACGTGAAGAGAAAAACAAAACTCAACAGGAATCATGGTGCTTTTAGGAGTGCTGTGGAAAATCAAACGGCCAAAGAAAAAATAATGTGTGATTAAATTTGCAGAGCCAGTGCTTATAATTGAATAAAATGGGAAAGTTACGAGACATTGTTGAAAGTGTCCTCAGGTCTGGACCCTCAAAACTCAGACCAGTTTGATAATACCACATACTCTGTTCTTATACTTTGTAAACACACTCATTCTCCCAGTCGGATCAATGAATCAATAAAAATAAGTAATATTCCACACAATGGTGAAATGTGCTTAAATGAGATCAGGGTTTCAGAACCTCTGCAATCCACAGGCAAACTGAATGAGGCTCATGTGAATGAGTGTCACCACGCAAGTAAGCCAGTGTGTGGGATCTTTGTTTTATGAACGCATTCAAATGTCTTGGTTGGGTCATTCTCCTCTTGCACTTACAGCAAAGGGGTCGGCTTGCTCCCAGGAGATGGGGGCTCCCCATGAGGCAGGCCTCATCTTTTCGGGCAGAGACTCGGGCACGGCCACCAGGATGAAGCAGATGTCGAGCAGCGCGATGGCTGTGGCCAGGATCACCACCAGCGTGTCGCCGTAGGTCTCTGACAGGTACGCCCCGATGGCAGGACTTGTCACCAGGCTCCCTGCGAAAGTGGCTGACACCTGACAGAGGAGAGAGTCAGGATGGCACCAAAACATATGCATCTACTGTACAGACAAAGGTTTACAAAGTTACAAAGTTTGGACAAACCTTCTCATTCAAAAAGTTTTTTTTATTTTCACAATTATGAAAATTTAAAATTCACACTAAAGGCATCAAAACTATGATATAACTCAGGAGGAATTATGTACGTACTAAAAAAAAAGTATGAAACAACTGAACATACTGTATGTCTTATATTGTCGGTTCTTCAAAGTAGCACATTTTGCTCTGATTACTGCTTCACTCTTGGCATTCTCTTGATGAGCTTCTAGAGGTAGTGACCTGAAGTGGTCTTCCAACAGTCTTGAAGGAGTTCCCAGAGATGCTTAGCACTTGTTGGCCCTTTTGCCTTCACTCTGTGGTCCAGCCCCAAAACCATCTGGATTGGGTTCAGGTCCGGTTACTGTGGAGGCTGGGTTATCTGGCCCAGCACCCACCACTTTCCTTATTGGTCAAATAGCCCTTACACAGGCTGGTGTGAATCTACAGTCAATAGTCATGAAAAGAAAGGAAACTCATTAAATGAGAAAGTGTGTCCAAACTTTTGGTCTGTACTGTATATTTAACATGCTGAAATGCTATTTATCCTCTTAAAACCTCTGTGGGTGACTAATTCGTTGTTCTGTTGTATATATTTTTTTATACTACATTCATATTTATTTAAGTCACTTCCTGATGGCTCAATTAACATGTTTTAGGGATAAAAATATTAGGGCTGCAACAACGAATCAATAAAATCGATAAAAATCGATTATTAAAAGTGTTGGCAACAAATTTCATCATCGCGTCGCGGAGCTCACGCAAGTTGGGCGCATTCTTGTACAGCTGTGTTCAGACGATGCATGCAGGTGTGTAGTTGGAGGAATGGACGTACTTTCACTAAATATAAGCTGCACGAGTTTAGTCAGTTCTCAAGCACTGCGTCCTCCATTGTTCTCTGATTGGTTGCCGCACGTGTGTGGAGCGAGTATGTTCATCTCGTGCTTTCGCACGCTCTCATGGACAAAAATCACTATGACTTTGCATTGAAAATTATCGCAACGCATGATCCGGTCACACACAGCTTGAGAATGTTTACACTCATGTCTGAGTGTGCGTCTGTGCCTGACAGTGCCACTCTTCATTATTTATCATTTATTGTTACTGCTAAGGCAATATTTGGCAGATACTGCATAGTATACATTTGTATGTTTTTTGTGTTGGTCCATTTTGAATAAAGGGATAGAAATTAAAAATGTTTCTTTTTTTATCTGATTTTTTATCAATTAATTGAAGAAATAATTAACAGATTAATAGATTATTAAAATAATTGTTAGTTGCAGCCCTAAAACATTTAATTATAAAACATTCAGGCATGTATAAATCAACCTTTTTTCCAGCACTACCAAAACATTTAAAGTAATAAACGACCAAATAATTATTCTGTAGTGACATAAAGACATCTGATGGGTCCATTTTCTTTCACAAAAACCTGCTTGAGCTATTCCACGAGTCCACCCGTCTGAAGGTTCTAGCGCACACATTGGGAGCTAAACAACTGAGCATTTACTGCCAAAATACAAGTGGTTTTATATTTGTGTGTGTTTTGTAAATGAAAGAATAACTAAAAAAAAATGATTTGAGGCTTTCAACAATATGATATTAGTTACAATTATTAGTTATATTATTACAATAAATTAAAGGAGACATTTTAGATTTTGAAGCTCCCCCAATGACAGCTTTATGAAACCACATTTGTGTAATGATGAAGTAAAATCAATGCATTTTTTTCTGAAAATGTAAACATTTGTTGAGCTTTCCGATATATTGGCGTTATCTGTAACCATAAAGTCTACCTCGCGGCCCACGACCAGAGAGAGTTCCGTTCACTCACCAGCCCGTACGCCGTGCTCCTCTCGTGCTCCTGTGTGATGTCGGCCACGTAGGCAAAAATGACAGAGAAAGTGACCGCGAAGACGCCGGACATGGAGATGACGGCAAAGTACCACCTGAAAGAAACAGGATAAACATGTTATGGAGGCTGAATGAGCACTGCCATTCTAAGGGCCATCGAATCCTTTAAATATATTTAGCTTGTTTGTTTGTTTGTTTCTGAACCAAATTGACCATTAAATGAAACCTGTATTCTCATGGTGCAATGAGCGCTGCAGTGCTCATTACACCATTGTATGTATAGGTTCCCTTATTTCCAGAGTACGAAACCTCGACACCACAAAAAAATGAACTGTGTAAAAAATATCTGTAACTAGTTCCTCACTCTCAAATCTGTTTCCACATGCATGAATGTTTGACCTCTGTCACGTCTTCAGATGAGCTTTCTCAGAGAGAAACATCAAAGAGAGACTGTTCAATGAACACACAAAAATGGCTTTTTCTTACTGCCCAAATGATGGTCAAGTTATCAAAACACTCTTCCAGCAAATATCCAAAATCTTTTTTGTGATAGAGACACCCAGCTCCTCCAAGTGAGTCTGAGAGGAGATAAGACCAACCAAGAGACACAAAAACGCTGAAATCCATGTATGTTTCTGAAAGAAGGGCTAGTTTGTGAATGGAGTCACTGAAGAAAAAAAAAACTGTTTAAGTTTGACACATTTCAAAAGATGTTTTAAAAAGGTGGTGATGGAAAAGTACCTGGAAGAGCGTGTAGGGTCGGTGAGTTTTGGGGCCGTGTGGTTGTGTTGTGATGATTTGTTAAAATAAAAATAAAAAATTGTGTGGTGGTGGTTTGATATAAACGTAAGCTTCTATCATCCCCCTCTCTTTCTGTTATGTTGAATGGCTTTGTAGTCCAGCTGCAGGTTTGAAATTAATGAATGAAACAAACAAACAAACAAATCCACCCTCACTTGGCCAATCAGCTCTCAGTATTTAAAAGATGACATTTTTTTCTGTTGGGACTGAGACGTGGATGTATGTGCTTCAGGCTGGATTTTGTCAGACATGTTTGTTCAGCTCTTGCGGTGAAAGATTACCTGCAGTAATGTGAATTCGGTGCCAAATGTTTGCCTAAGGGTGTGGGACCATTGGTTTGGGTTATTAACAAATGCCTTCTATGGTGCAATTGTTTGTTATGGCTTTAAAAAAGTGACAAAGACTCAATGCTGACTCTGCGTCGTCTCATAGTGATGTTGTTGTGTGTATGTTGAGCAGGGCTGTAAGAAGCTCATTGATTGATCACAACTAATAGATTTTAGGAAAAGTTGTAACTAATTTAGATATGAAATCATAATGTTTTGAACCTTACTTTACACTCAGAAAAGTGAAGAGGTTTTATGACTTTGATAATTGTAAAAAAAAAAAAAAGTCTGCTGTGTTTTTCAGAGGCATCACTTGAGCTTTGTTTTTGTCAAATGTAGAAACAAATAACTAATTGATTAATAGGCCAATTAATAAAAAGTTTCACAGGGAGAATCAGGGCAGCAATATGAATGAGGTCAAAAAGTCTAAAATGTCCAGATAAACGTCCTACTTAAAAGTGTATCTTTGGATCAACAGATGTTTTAAAAACGTCAACCTGATTGTATACAACAAGAAATAAGTGATGAAGGAGTACATGGAGGGGAGTTCCTTCAGCATTGAGCAAGTGACGGGAGATGGGGTGTAGGGTCAGAGTGTTTGGGGCTGTGTTTTGTGTGTGTTTTTTGTGTGGGTGTGTGTATTGTGTTTTAAGCGTCTGCTTCGTCCAACCCCTTTTTCAAATCATGTACCGCAGTTCATTCATCTCGTTTGTCGTCTTATGTTGTGCACACATGTTTGAAATAAATACATCTTAATCTACAACAGAATGCTCCAGGAAGAGTTTTTCTATTTTTAGACACAAATATAGATAACATTAACAGTAATTATATTGCAAACAAGAAAAGCCCATAATTACCAGGGGCTGATCTTCATGAGTGGGATAGGTGCACAGGTGAAGAAAACCGTCAGCAGCAGAAAAGACTTTCGACCCCAAACGTCCGACAGTGCTCCGATGAGCGGCGCGCTAAGGAATGACAGCAGGCCCTGTGCGCAGGACAAAGCTTTCAAAACATTGTAATGGTAGCACAATAACTGCATTTCATCTGGTTTCCAAAAGCACAGAGAATAACTCTTTAGACTCCATTTGTAAGGGAGTTGTTACATTTTAGTACTACGCAGGATTACAGCCCTCGTGCGCTGGTGGAGAAGAGTGCCTAGTTTCCGCTAAAGTCTTGTGGTTAGGGGGAAATGTAAACTAAGAGCTGTAAGTCACTGAGCAAAATTGAACTAAATCCTTAAAACAACCTCCACCACTTCTACTACAAAAACTACTACAACTACTTACTTTTATGCTTAAAGTAGTAACACAAATGTTCCAAAAACAAAACACTAACTTGGATTATTTGATACAATACAATTATGATGAAAACTATATCATCCAATGCCTTGAGTTCAGTTAAGACCTAAATGTTGTTTCTGCCTCAGTTGCCTCTTGAGAGTTGTGCCGTGCCGTGTCGTACCTTGACTCCATGGATGAGCCCGTTCATCAGGAATGTGTGCTGTGGGAATGTCTGCCGTAAGACCTGGAAAATGAAAAATTAAGACGTTTGAATGTAATCCGCACGTCCACTTCGATTCAAAGTTTTACATATTTAGAATGTGATATGCCCTGGTTCAGTCTCAAGTTTTTGTAGATACTAGAAAAACAAAAAATGTGAAACCACAATAATTTGAAATGTTTATGTTTTTGTCCCCTCACGACTCGGCATCGTATGAAGCGGAAGAAAATGGATGGAAGTTTTGCTCAAGCAACAGTTGATTTTGATAAAAAGAACATTAACATCTTTCTCTACTCTTTTCAAAGAAACACTGAAATATGGTTCTTCATACACGTCAAAGAAGTAAATCTCCAGTACAGACACATTTCAGTTCCTTGATGTGTCTTCCTAATAAATAAGTCACTTTGGTGATTATTATTCAATTGGTAATGGAGTCAGACTTGCATTTTTACAGCCACATTAGGTGTTTTTTACCATATAAAAAACATCACAAAAGTAAAGAAATTTGTGCTTGAGCAGACTTATCCATGCATGTATCTCCAGTTGATTAGACTACTGTGAAAGTCCAGTCCTCAGGTCTCAGAAAATAGACTAAAGCAGCTCTGCTTTTGTCTCTCCACGGCCGCGCACCAGAATACATCTGTGACAAGGTGGTGCCATATGAACCAACAGGGACGACAGTCCCTGTGGTCCTCTGAGTCTTGCTCAGAGGACCACAGGGACTGTAGTCCTGCTGGTGCCAAGAGTCAGAGCTAAACATGGGGAACCAGCGTTTCAAGTTTATGCAGCTAAAACGGTTTTCTTGAAAATGTTCCTTCTACTCTGAAACCTAGGTTTAAAAACTTAATGGATTGCTTTGGATTGTATCTTCATTTATGATTTGAATGGCCTTGGGTGTCTTGTCCATGCATTTTATATAATAATTGATGCTGTGTTCAATGTTCCAATAGACGCATAGCAAGAGATGTGGATATTAAACGGCCAAAATCAATGCCTGGATGTTTACATGTTGTATAGGGCAGAGTCCACGCTGGAGGGGTCGATGACACGTCTATGTTTGTCTAATGAGACTGTGAATCAACTCCTCGCTCTTCCGTTGATGATTAGTGAGAAATACAAATGCAGTCTGTGACCAGGGATGTTTCAAGACTAGCGGAGCCCCTCTCATTAACACCAGAGTGGCGTGAACAATAGCGTTCTCTTCTGTTGGAGGTGCAGCTGCTGGTCATTGGATACAGGGCGGTTCATGTGGAGCACAGATGTCTGCCGTTTCGAGACTTTCGAGAAACATTTATTCCCAATAAAACATAATCAAAGAATAGTCCAATTTTCTGACAAAGTATATTGATTGTGTCATGCCCAACCCAATGCAATTTTTAAATCCAAGTTCCAAATCTTTTCCAAGATTCAAGATTTGACAATTTTCCCCTTTCAATGTTAGAATAAATACTACATAATAAGTAAACTGCTGGACTATAAGCTGCTGCTACCTTTATCAAATTTCTTTGAACCCTGCAGGCTATAAAGCCATGTGGCAAATTGTATTGGAGTGAGCCTGTAGTCAGAGAAGGGTTTATGGACATACTATTACGACTCATCAAGTTTTAGTAGCTATAGGACACACATTTATTGTCAACACAGATTGGTAAATGAGTCATGGAAGATAACAGTTAAGGTAAACATGCTAACGTGATTGAATGTATGCATTGTCAACATTGTATCATTTTATGAAAGCTTTGTCCATAACAAGTCAACAGTGTGTTAAAACTGTAGTCTTTGCTCCATTAGCTGTTGGTTAAGTTACATTACAACACAAAAATCTCACATAAACATCTTCTCTAGACATCTCTCATAGTGATTGGGTAAAACGACCTGTCACTTAGAGCATGACTCAGGTTGTCGTTTGAGCATCTAGACTCATTAAGATGTGCATTGAAACAATTCATCATCATCAAAACAGCAGATTCTCCACAAAAGCTCTATTCTTGGGTTTCATATGACGTTGGGGCAGTGACGCGAATGACATACGTGGGACAGGACCGGACGCGACGTACCCATGCGGTGCAGTCTACAGGGTATATACACGGAGATATAGTAGAAGTGCTGTCAAAATGCCATCTTTTTGTGCGCCGTAGGGTTGTAGCAAACCGCGCAAATAGAGCGAAAGACAAGATTTTCTTCCGTGTTCTATCTGTGGTCTCATATAAAAGGAGGAGTACATTTTTTTTTTTAAATCACTCGAATGAGGCGGATCAAGGCTTTCCCAGATAAGTGCCCCCTGCAGGCCACCCGAATGAAACTCAGCAATTTCTTGTTATTTTGTCCAAGAATGCCCGAAATCAAGATTCTTTAGAGAAATATTTTTTAGTACTCCCTTAGAATTGAGTGTCCCCCTCCCAATTAAGACTGTTAAAACAACCATACACAGCACAGGATGAGAGCCTTTTGACTCCAAAACAGACACGCTTTACATGTTTTTCAATGGGAGCAAAACTGAGTTGTCCCATCTTTGCTCATTCGCCCCCTACAGGCCAGGTTAATAAAACCCAAGAATTTTCACAACAACAAAGAGCAACAGTTTCGAACACGGGACTGCCAAAGTAACATTCCCACCATAACTAACATACTTGCTACTAATATGGTTCAGCCCTCACACTCTATTTCCAACCTTATAGAAATCCTTTTATATTTATATCAAACTGAAGTGTTGCTCTTGAAATGATTCTGTCTTTTACAAACAATGAAGGAATATGTGGAACCAGTCCAGTTTAGATCCCTACCAAAATCAGATTCTTCAGTTTTCCATCTCATTTCACAAACATTGTGGTCAGAAACATTGAAATAAATGTAAACAAAACATAGTCAATGGAAAAATACACTTATTTTTTCCTTGCAACAGTATAACAAAGAAATCTTGATCGATAAAGTGATATTTTTAATCCATAAATATTACTATGCAAACGAATAAAGAGTTGAAGAAAGCCCTCATACAAATCTACAAAAAATAACCCAAAAGATGCATACTTTTAAACAAGAACACGCTTGACAGAAAATAGGATTATTTAGGATTATTCTGAAAATGTGCTCATATTTTCTGAAAGCAACGATTCACGATCAGTCATTATATTGCCTTGCCTTGCTATTTGTTTCAGCCTTCCCTCTGATGTTAATATTGTAGAGCATGCTAAATAAAAATATGCAGACTACAAAATAATACACATTTGGCCAAAATGACGCAGTTAAGAGTTTCAATTCAAATCCCTGGGCAACACTGGTGAACATAGTTTGTCTTTCTATTGCAGCGGAGCCAGTGCATACAGACCAGCGACCTCCTGATAAGCCCTTTTTAACAAAGACACACAGCTCTCACAATGCAACTGTTTGATGCGCTTTCATATTTTCCTCCCATTAGCATCCGGCTAAAAACATTGGTCAGAACAACACACGCTCAGAGTAGAGCCCGGCACAAAGCTAGTCACTGAGCGGTTTGATTATACTTTAAATTATTCATTAGAAAGTAATGGAGCCATGTGGGTCGAGTCAATGGGAAATGCCACCTTCCACCTCTGTGTTAAAGAGAACAAAAGTGTGTAGGCACAGAAATGAAACTGACACTAGAAGTCGTATTTACATAAAACAGACCATGAAACAACAAAATGCCCGTGTTTGCACTGACTGGGAGCTATCTTGTGAAATAAAGATAGCGTCAAACCCTGTGCTGCGTGCTACTTTGTTTGACTTTGACCATGATAAACCACAAGTCATATTAAAAGAAGCTGTAGCAAATTTATATTTTGATGCAACATAAAACGGTCCTTCTACAATAGTAATCCAATCCCATTTGTCTGACCCAGTTTGTTTAATAGAGCTGTTCATCTCTTTTGTAGTCGAATGATGATGCTTGCCAGAATATCAAGTTCAACCCTTGTTAAAGAGTTGGTGCTGTAGAAAATCTGACACAACCAAATATAACAATAACGCTGTTTTCACCAAAAGTAGCATTCCATAAACCAAGTCACCAGCTTTGAGAGCAACGGCTAGAATTGGGTAAAAGTACTCTGCTTACCGTGAGCATTGGGGTGGTAAGGAGACCCCATGCAAAAAACTCCAGAAAGATGACCACAACAGCATGGTAAACGCTGGGCTCACCAATCCCTTGTGGCTAAAAAGAACAAAGACAAAAATAAACAAAAAAATCACAAAGATAAATGTTACCATAACAATATTTAATAAGGGGCCCATTGGCATGAAACAGTTAACAATATCAACGACTTTGTAAAGTCCTCTGAAATATCTACTGTTGTGAGTTAGAACTATACAAATTACAATGAATTTAATAGTTCATTTTACAGGATTATATAAAAAAATATTGTATTTATTAAAATGTTGAATAAGTATATTTTTCACAGTAAATGGTGCAAACAATTGCTACATACAACAAATATTGTGTGTTACATTTTTTACGAAGACATGATCCAATTCAGTTACTTTATAGATGTTTAAAACTTGACACACACATGCACATAGGCTTGACATGTCATATCTCCCTCCCTACACGGACATTGCTTCAGGCAATCGAAAAGACATCCCTAGTCTTTTGACCTTTTGACCAACTGCATGCAAAAGGATATTGACAGTAAAAATGTATGTTGCTTGTGATTGGTCTGCCCATGTCACACAATCAAGCACAAAACGGTACGGATAATTCAAAATTAGGATTACTATAATTAATCTTTATTAAGGACAATGGAAAAAAACATTCAGACATAGACTCTTGCATATAAATTACATTGATAGTAACCCACATCCCTTTTTATAATTCACCAGGGGCATTAAGAGGAAGTGGTCGACTTCTGATGATTGAGATGAAACTCAAACGCCATCGGGTTTGAAAGAGAAATGGCGAGGAAAATATAAACAAAGCACCTTTATGTGAAATACCACTCTGAGTGGAAACAGTAAGACCAAAAGTCTTTAATTAGGATACACCATTTGCATCATATTGGGAATAGCCGTCCTAATTGTTGCATAACAATTTCAGTATTAACACCAGGCTTGTGCAAACAACCTAATTTGGGACGATCGCTGCTCTCTGGACATATTCCACGCACTTTGAATCAGTCATAGGAGAATACACATGCCATACGTGTATGCACAGATGCAGCGAGCTTCTTGACAAAACATCACATGGAATTTTTTGGAAAAACGATAACGTTGTGTCAACGTTATAGTGATAAGGACCTACTAGAAACAGAATATCCCAAGGGATAACGTTATGCATCCTTATCATTTTAGCTAACAAATGTTCAGACCTGTAGGAAAAACCTGGTGGATTTAATCTTAATCTGAAAAGTTAATCTATCCATTTTATCATTTAAACAACGCCGTGAACGAAGACAACACCAGAAGTGTCCCCAGAAGAGACAGGGGGAAATACGATCAATGTAAACAGAAACACACGCTAACATGCTACAAGCAGTCAGCCCACCCTGTTAGCAAACCCTCATTGAGATGCGAGTTAGATTGCATAAATACTGTGAATGATTAAGGTGGAGAGTTTGATCAAAATCCTCGTTTTAAACCATTAAAATGCAGCTTCACTGACATTAGCCAGTTCACATCACCTGAGCTGACGTGTATGCGCCCACCACAGGCCGCTAGCATTAGCAGCGGCTAACAGTGCACGCCCAGCTAACGGAGCAAAATGCTGTGGAATAAAAACATGGACAACAACAGGACATCGACACTATCATTGATACAGCTGCCAATAGGGCTATATAAAGACATCACACGGGGTTATTGCCAAGTAAACACAAATAAATAAATATTTAACTCACACTTCCTCCATCTTTTATAATAATTTTCTTTGCAAGAAGAATGCTGCGGTTTATCCGCTTTTTCTTCTTCTTCTCCCCCGTCATCCTTAACTTATGTCCATTCTTGGAGTCATTGGTCCATTGTGGCACCTATTCAACTAAAATGACACTCAAAACAATGTCTCTCGTCTTAACACTCGGTGGTCGGCTCAGGCAGTTAGCGTTAGCATCAAGCTAATGCTGATTTCACTCGCGTCAACCTGACTTCCTGAACAGAGCATGGTTCCGCCTCTCCGGCCCAAAACATCCCACCGATTGGCTCCTCGATCAATCCAAACTCAATCTCGGGCTTTAATTGGCTGCTGGGCCCTCGGCGCTCCGGAGCGAGGCTCAAGAGCGCTCGCGGTCTCGAGTAACAATGAGGAAATCCTTATATGGAGCAGACAGTGTTTTTCACTGAACAAAATGTACCAATATTTCCACGAACAATGACATAGAAACTACTATCTTTTCAGTAGATTCGGGGTCTGTGAATTATACATAAGTGTTATGGGAAATGTTTAATAATTTATCCATCGTTGAACGAAAGTGAAATAAGTAAAATAAGTCAATGATAAAGAAAGTATTTAAAGGTTGTGTAACACAAGAATTACAAAAAAAACCTATCACTTAATATTGTGTCAAACTGCACAAGGTTGTGTGTGGTGTTGCAAAACAATGTTCAGTCACATTGAACACAAAATTACAGTTTTAAATAATAAAGCCATTTTATAAAAGCCAATTCAACGAATGTAAGTTTATAAAAAATAGTCATTTAATACAAAGAAATTATTCGCCCACAACAAATCCGATTACGTACCAACATTAATTAAAGCACATGCTTGTTTGTTTGACTGCACACAAACCACTATAAATGTACTGTACACAGGTTTCCCATCACTTTCTGGTTTAATTAAAATCACATTGAGAATGTTTATAGACCAAAGTAATCATAATTGTTCGTATTTCTTTGAATTTACAATCCAGGAGAATCAGAGTAGGGCATACTGTTAAATACACATTTTCATAGCAGCGTCTCCACAAACATTTTTAAAACTGCATATTTTAGTTATGTATTTAACATAAATCAAGTGTGGTCTTCATCCTCGTCGATGTAAGGGATATCCAGATGGTCGAAGTTTCCTTGTTTTTCTATAGGAAAAAGTTTGTCTTTTGTTTTGGGAGAAGGCAGAGATTCAGTAGGTAAAAACTCAAATTGTCCATCGTCCGTTTGTGCTCTTAAACTCCTCACTCTCTGTGCCAGGTCAATCAGGTTTGTGGGCGAATCGGGCTTCCTGTTTGTCAATCGTAAAGTCAGCTTGCCTAAAATTAGAATCAGAATCATTTTTATTGCCATGTAAGTAACAGGAAGTCACAGACTAGGAAATTGCTTTTGCTCTCGGTGCAAGAATAAGGCATAATAAAAATATTTCTAAAGTATAATATTTTCTAACATATAACAAATGGAAAAGTACTGTAAGTAAGTAAGTAAAGGACAAAAGCATTTAAAAAAACATTTTCACCAACATAAATAGTGGCAAAAATAATTACAAAATACAATACATTTGAACGGAACTTGTGATAAGAGCTTAGATAACTCTGTATTTAGTTATTACAGAACTATTCATATGACTCTAAGCCTTCATTTATCTCGTTTCATTAGTAATTGTTGTTGTTGTTGTGTTTATAAAAGTGTTAAAATGTAGATCATGCATTTGATTGTAGGGTTTTCAAAACACAACTTTGTGTTTTGGAAAGCCGCAGATCAAAAATGTTTAGTTGCAGAAAAGAACATGTACCGTACCTCTCTACTGACCTTCCGATTCCAGGCTTTTCAGGCGGTCTTCGAGGCTCTCTGTGCTCATTGACGAAGTCGAGTCCAAGTTTTCACTGTCTGATTGCTCCTGCTCCAGATCGGGAAGTCTGCAGGCCAAGTCCACCCTGGAAAAGCACATTAGGTACACATTAATATATTAAATAACATTGTTTTTTGTCATCTTTTGCATCTCATCCACCACCTTTTCAACCAGGAGCACCACGGGACCGCTCATTAGTTTTAGTTGACCATAATTCACTGAAATCACAGCCCAGATTTTTTCAGTCCTGTTCTGGATGGGCCAGTGGTAGTTTCACGAGAGCCAGAAGTCACAACAGGCGGAAATGATGACGCCCTGTCCATTGTTATGCAGACTCTGGTTTTTAGTACAATGATGGTGGTAACATATCAGCATATAAAGCTTTACTTTAACTTGATTGAAATATCTCAGACAACCAAGTAATTCTAGTCACAGTTGACGTCTTGTTAATGTCTAACATTGTTTTAATTGTTATTATTTGGCATTAACAAAAAAACAATAAATATATTATAGCTGCCAAAAAATAACGCTGATCCTTAGTCGGAATTCATTTTCTATGCGTCTACTTTAATTTAAAAAGGACAGTATGTAATAAATAGGTTAATATTAATAGTCGTTTAAAATGTTAACAAAGCTTACACTTAGGTTGCCATTTTGTTTAATTTAGCTGTTCTTTTTATTATATATAACAATAATCACAAATATAATCATTCAATTGAAAGAAGGTTAAAAAAATGTAGTCATATGAAAAATAAGAAGTTATATGTATTTAGTTTGTACTGTTTCTAGCTAAACTCCAGTAGTTTGCATCAGTAACCTGTGTTTAGGAGCTACACTGTCACAGGCTCTTCACATACTGTCCCTTTCATTTGGTGAGCTGTTTTTGAGGAGCTCTAATGGATGACTCAAACTCAGAGGCAGATTAGAAGAGCACGACATAAATGCACATTAGAATCAAAGCCTAAAACATGTTTACTCACTTCTCCTGTTTGATTGATTTTATTCTATCGATGAGTGTCTTTTCAGTTTCATCAGAATCGTTGTGGTCAGGGACGTCCAGTGTTTCCTTCTCCACAATCTGTTCACACACAACAAGCAAATGTTGATGAATCTACTGAAGGATCTACTACTGAAACTATGTTCAACACATTTTATGTTTTCCTCTTACAAAAGACACTCAGAAAGGCTCAGTTCAACTCAGAGAAACAAGAACAACTAATCCACTAATTGCTAACCACTCAGCCACGGCGATGTCCAGTGTGTGACTCATTTGGCCAAGTTATAAGTCATATCTGTCTTATGTCTTATCTGCTATCACAAGAAGCAGGTATCGGACCAGTTCACAAAATGTTCCTGGCCCCCTGCAGGTCAGTGGAGGAATGCACCTTTAAAAACCAGTGCTGCTGATAGCAGTAGAGTAGGGGGAAAAAAAGTCATGTATAAAAACTTGAAAATGGCCTTGAGTTTTATAATATGCAAGATTCCCCCACCGTGTTTTGCCTCCGCAGCTGAAGCTCGTTGACGGCCAGGGCCTCGGCGTACTCCAGCTCGTGAATGTTCTGCATCATCTCTTTGTATCGTCTGAACTGCTCCGAGATCAGGATCTCCATACACCTGCAACAAACTTTCTAGATGACAACAAACTTTCTAGATGACAACAAACTTTCTACATGACTAATGTTGGACCTCATGTTCTTCAACTTGTTCTGCATTGTGTCTAGTGTTGGACCAGTGTTATGATTCATTCCTAGAGTCCAACAAATATGGCCATTATATCAACACATTATTTATGGTAAGTTCAAAGCTGGCTGCAGAATTTCAGACCACAAAATGTTGTCTTTATCTTAGAAAACATTATCTTTTTCATAAGGCGAGCTGATTGGCTGAGTTAACTGAAAAAGCTGATATGTAGATGTGGCAGAGGCCAAAAGTACACACATATGAAAACTATTGATAGAACCAAACAGTTTTGAGAGCGAGGACACAATTACATGGATTTTATTGAATAGTTTAATAGTTTTGTGGTTTTATTATGGGACAATATTAGCAGATTGATGCATTCAATTAGCAGAGCCAGCCTACCAGAAAAAATACAGTTTGTGGTAAGACTGTTTTCTAAGCTATTAATACGTCACCCAGAGGCTACTCCACCTCTGCTGCTGTGACCTGCAGGGCTGTTGCTGATTATTACTATTGTTAGCTTTTTAGAATGTTCCATTTTATCAATAAAGTATCTACAGTATCTATCTAGTAATTAATTTTTGGAGCGGTCACAGAAAAGTCCTTAAAACACTAATCAATGTGTTTTTTTGGCCACTGTTGATCCAACATTGTGTTTATATAAGACCTCCCTCTATTGTTAGGAAACTTTGCAGTTCTGTTGCTGTGACTATAAACGTCGCTTGTAAAGGTTAGGATTTACAATGTGCACCAGAAACAAGTTTGTGAACACGGCGTCTTGGAGAAAAAGTAGAGAGCCGCCTACATTGTTATTTTGGCCACGTCCTTCATGCCGAGGAACGGGTCGTCTGAGTCTGGAGAGCGCAGGACACATGGAGCGAAGACGATGGCCAACGAGCTGGGAGACATCTTGTTGTGCTCCTCCTCTTTGGCGACTCTAACAATGCACATGAGATGTACGACATGATCATGGTCTGGACATTTACTGGATCAAACAGCTGAAATAAGCAAGATAAGCAGCTGATGTTAGTTTTACCGGACGAGATGGAAGACGAGGCGCTCCAATGTGTTGTAATTAGATGGAGGAAGTTCGTCTACTTTTTGGTAAACGGCACGGATACGTTCTGATCTCTCTGGCAGCTCTGAAAAACATAGATGAGGATAAAAGGCGTGGCTGTTTTAGTCCTATAAAATCTGTGGCAAAGCTGTGATACATTTTTGTAATTAATTCATTCTTAGAATATGACATATGGTCCATTTTAACATCTATCCATCCATCCATTTTCTTCCCCTTAATCCATTTCTGGGTCGGGGGGGCGGCAGTCAGAGCTGTACCCAGTCACAGAGCACCAGCCCCTCACTGATCCTCCTGCAGGTGGTGAGTCCACAGGAGCTGAGATCTTTTCAGTTGGGGCTTTGGGCAAAGTAGGGTTAAGTGTCTTGCCCAAGGACACAACGGCAGCAGTCATCAGTGGGAGTCTTACGGTGGGCTCGAACCCACGACCTTCAGGCCCAAAGGCCAATGCTCTACCAACTGAGCTACTGTCGCCCTCCATTTTAACATCTTAATTCAAAATACCGGTACATGTGTCTTTAGATAATAGGTCAACATGTACACACCATATTTGGCCTTTCCTGAACAACATTTTAAACTGGATTTAGTCTTAAAGAAATGGTCAATCAACTTTTTAACACAGAGACATTTTTGAAATACCAGTACTAATTGGGCCGCCCCCCGCTTCTTGATTGGACGCAACAATATAAAATCTTTGGTTAACAGCTAAGGTCTTTCACCATTGGTCAAACTATTCCAGCAAATCTAACTGGTAGTGGATGTGTAAAAGGGGAGAGACTGTTTTAACTGCATATTTTATTATAATAAATTACTTAATGTAAATCATACTACAGGATCATATGGTTAAAAAAAGAAATACAATTTATGCCTGTGTGTAATCTGACCTGCATATTTTGTACTGTGGACCCCAGTTATATATGTGTTACGACCCGAAGGACAAAACATATTTAAGGACACAGAGACAGGGTAAGAGTTCCAAAATAGATTTTATTTACGTATTCCAAATGAACTCTTGTTTTAATATAAATCCAATTTATGGATTAACCCAAAAAAACCCAACCCCGTGTCCAGAAACACAAAAACCCAAAGTAATCAAATTAAAGGTGGACCTGGTGGGCCAGCCGAAACAAACAAAATGGGCCGACACCGAACCAACCCTATACAGGGCCGTCCGGATCCGATGCCGACACCCTAACTAAAGAATAAAGAAAAACCCAACTAGCTACACCCTCACACACGAAAATGTAACCACCGGACCCACCAGATCAAACAAAAACTAAACTACCGAAAGGCTACAAAACAACCAAACCATGCGGCGTCTGGAGAAGGCCGCAAGCCGGACCAAGAGGGAGCGCGCAGCGCGGGCACGCTCACCTCAGCAGGTGGAACAAACGAGGATGAGAGCAGAGAGGGGCGGGAGTGCACCAGGACAGCGCCTTTTATATCCCGGCCCGAGCAAAATTATAAAACCCAAAAATCCCTGGAAACAAAAAAGACAAGATATAAAACCATGGGGAAAAAAGGTGCCCAAACATAACACCCCCACCCAGTGTCACTGAACAACTTTGAAGGCGCCAAACCAAATAACACCACCCTCAAAGTAGTCAGTGCAATAAAAAAACAGGCCGCCCGACTAAAGGCGGGACAGTGCATCCGCAACAACATTATCCCTACCACGGATGTGCCGGATTAAAATATTAAACCCCTGGAGGCGGAGTGACCAATGCATGAGACGCCGATTCTTATTTCGCATCCGGTCCAAAAAAACCAAGGGATTGTGGTCCGTATAGACCAACACCGGAACACTAGAGCCCCCCACATAGACCTCGAAGTGTTCCAACGCCATGACCAAGGCCAACGCCTCCTTCTCAATGGTCGAATACCAGCGCTGACACTTATCAAGCTTCTTTGAAAAATAAGAGATCGGATGCTCGACACCATCAGCACCGTCCTGCAGAAGAACAGCGCCCACCCCTGTATCACATGCGTCCACAGAGAGTTTGAAGGGTGCATCAAAACGCGGGGCTGCCAAGACAGGAGCATTCAGTAACAAAGACTTTGTTTGCTCAAACGCAGATTGACAGGCGTCCGACCAAACAAAGTCAACTTTAGGACTTAAAAGATTTGTCAGGGGCGTAGCCACAGATGAAAAGTTTCTACAAAAACCCCTGTAGTATCCCACCATAGCCAAATACCGCCTTAGCTCTGTGCGAGTAGCGGGAGCGGGAACCAACAGGATGGACTCAACCTTCGCCTGAACCGGGCGCACCTGACCTCCCCCCACCCGTTTCCCCAGATAGGTCACAGTCGCTTTGCCGAATTCACATTTGGAAAGGTTTACAGTCAAATTAGCCCCACTCAGACGCACAAAAACTTCACACAAATGCCGAACGTGCTCAGTCCACGAAGAGGAACAAATAACCAAATCGTCCAAATAGGCCTCACAAAACGCCAAACCAGACAGAACTGAATTCATGAGCCTCTGGAATGTCGCCGGAGCGTTACACATACCAAAAGCCATCACCGTGTACTCAAGGAAGTCGTCAGGTCGCGTAGACAGAATAGGGACAGGTGTAACATCTGGAGTAACCAATACTCTGCCTCCCGCTAAATCATTCCCCATAATGACATGAACCCCATCAACTGGAAACTTCGGGCGCACCCCAACAACCGCGTCTCCTGACCACAAATCGGAATGGATCGTGACCCTATGTAAAGGCACACCGATGTCCTGCATATTAAAGCTCCTGACTGGGACTTCAGAGCCCACTGAAGTCTCCCGAGACAGCGGCAATACTCCGTCAAGCACAAACGACTGCGACGCGCCAGTGTCACGCAATATCTTTACAGGAACCTTCTCACCATTAGCAGAAACGGACAAAAACCCATCCATCACAAAAGGCTGAAACTCAGTGTACTCACATGAGCCACGTGACTGCTTCACCTCATGAGTTTTAACCAGCGAGACTGATTTTGTGTTCCTTCCCTTCAGAACTGGACAATGAGCTACGATATGTCCCCTCTTCTTACAGTAGAAACACATCACCTCATCCTTCCTTCCAGCCTCAACTTTGCCGCCAGTAGGCTGAGAATTATTAACAGGATCCGTAGAAGAGGACTCACTTTTAATACCATCTCTGCCATTTCCCGTATGTTTATTGTCGTATTTCCCATAACCAACCACACGTTCGCTAAAAACGGGCCTGTGGGTTAGGACATACTCATCAATCAACACCGCGGCCTTACAAATGTCTGAGACTTTGTTTTCATTTAAATAAGTAGTTATTTTATCAGGAAGAGAGTTCTTCAAATCCTCCATCAAAATTAACTGCTTAAGCTGCTCGAAATCAATAATACTTTGTGAGGAACACCACCTATCAAAGAGAATTTCCTTTTCCCTCACAAAATCCACGTAAGTTTGATTAAAACATTTTCTCAATTTACGAAACTTCTGCCGGTACGCTTCGGGAACCAACTCGTACGCGCGCAGAATAGCAGCTTTTACTTTACCAAAGTCCAAACTATCTGCGGCCGAAAGCGCGGCGTAGGCCTCCTGAGCTCTACCAGTCAAAGTACATTGCAGCAATAAAGTCCAGACATCTCTTGGCCACTTTAACGTGTCCGCTATCCTCTCAAAAATAGTGAAATATTTATCCACGTCTCTTTCATTAAATTGAGGGACTAAACGAATGTTCTTACTCACGTCAAATTCTGACGGTCTGGGCTCTCTGTACCTCAGCTCCAATTCCCGCAAACGAATCTCCGCGTCCAACTCCCTCTCTCTCACAGCAAACGCAATCCGCTGTGACTCCACTTCCAACTCTTTCAGCCGCACAGCCTCATCCCCAGACCTGGATGAAGAACGTGGGCTTCCAGACAAGACGGATGCAGAAAAAACACCCTTCTGCACTAAGGCTGACAGCAAATCAGCTTTCAACACAGCCTTTTTAGGCTGTCTTGAAACAGCAACTTTCACATGCTCAGCAATAATTATTAATTGCTCTTTCGTGCATTTGTGAAAGGCCTCCAAAGTGGGCGCCTCAAAAAACTCATCGAGTTGAAACTCCATGTTCAACACGAATCCCGCTGTCCGTACCAAACTGACACGCGTAAAAATGCGACCCACACAAAAACCCTACTCTCTATACTACCTGCACAAATCACAAACCAAGTTGTTACCAAAACAAAGTCATACAAATTGCCAAATTATGTCACAAATAATACGAAAGTGACACAACTCAAGTAACAAAAACTCTCAAAAATTACTAAAGGCAAAAATTACTGTCCTAGGGTTTTCACATTGTTTTTGACGAGCCCCCATAAATATGTTACGACCCGAAGGACAAAACATATTTAAGGACACAGAGACAGGGTAAGAGTTCCAAAATAGATTTTATTTACGTATTCCAAATGAACTCTTGTTTTAATATAAATCCAATTTATGGATTAACCCAAAAAAATCCAACCCCGTGTCCAGAAACACAAAAACCCAAAGTAATCAAATTAAAGGTGGACCTGGTGGGCCAGCCGAAACAAACAAAATGGGCCGACACCGAACCAACCCTATACAGGGCCGTCCGGATCCGATGCCGACACCCTAACTAAAGAATAAAGAAAAACCCAACTAGCTACACCCTCACACACGAAAATGTAACCACCGGACCCACCAGATCAAACAAAAACTAAACTACCGAAAGGCTACAAAACAACCAAACCATGCGGCGTCTGGAGAAGGCCGCAAGCCGGACCAAGAGGGAGCGCGCAGCGCGGGCACGCTCACCTCAGCAGGTGGAACAAACGAGGATGAGAGCAGAGAGGGGCGGGAGTGCACCAGGACAGCGCCTTTTATATCCCGGCCCGAGCAAAATTATAAAACCCAAAAATCCCTGGAAACAAAAAAGACAAGATATAAAACCATGGGGAAAAAAGGTGCCCAAACATAACATATGTATTACTGCTAAACATCATCATTGGAATAACTGAACGCATTTCTTCTACCCACATTGTTACTAGTATCTATATCTGAAGTATGCGTCAATTATACCTCAAATGATGACCTTTTCTGTTCTTATGCACATTGATACAAATAATGTAAAAAGCTTTGTCTCCTTTTGTTTGATCTGAGGGGACTGAAAAATAAACCGGGTCACTGGTGTAATCGCTGCTGCCTTGTCTTCATGTCTTGACACTCGCAGAACGCAAACATAAAAATATGTATTATTTAAATGTATCTGCTACTTTTGTCAATGGTGATGGGTGAGAAAATCGTTGGAAAGCAGCATTCCATGACCATATTTGGCAAATTTGCTTCTTTGGGTTCTCAGGTACATAATATGGACCTTGAGTCTGGAACAAAGGATATTATTATTATTATAAACTAGTTTATGCATTAAACCAAAAAGTTATAATTTTACCATAACCACTGAACTTTATGCTGCATATTTCTAACCGAGGGTGCCACGGGGTTAAGTTGCAGATATCACCTCTAATTAAAAATACAACACACATGATGTCTACAATACTTCAGAGAGTAGAATGTATCCCTCATTTGGACTTTCAGTTTCTTCAATAATACAGAGTTTGCGCAGTTTCGAGCAAAACTTCAACAGGATTGTATTTGCAATAACTTTATTAACCCATTAAAAATGCAAACTTTAAATACAACAATTATTCCCACACACACTGTAAACCCTAACTTCAATCATACTTCAGATATCAAAGATTTTCTAAATAGATTTTTCCTAGTAAGTGAATATAACTCATTTATTGTTAGTTTATTTAAAGCTTGGCAATATCACTCAGGATTTTCTTTGAATTGACCTCTCTCTGTTCAAGTAAGCCTCACTTTTGACATTTTGACGTGTAGAGTCTTAAATGAGACAGGTGTGAAATAGGGCAAGGTAGCATGGTGCTGAGTGGGTAGCACCTTCACCTCTCAACTTCAAGATTGTGAGTTCGACTCCTGGTCGGAGCAAAATTTAAACTTTATTGCAATCGCTTGAGTTACTTATAATAATATCAAGTAAAAGGATGTACCCGAGTAATTCAAGTGAAGTTAATATGCAATTTATTTCCAAGGTTTTTCCAAGTAAACTTTACTTGTTAGGGTTTACAGTGCAGAAGCATCATAACAGAACATTCCCCCTCTCGCTTACCAACAGCATGTAGAAAGTCATTGTACAGAGCAAAGGTCATCAGAGGGTCGGGCAGTTCTCGGAGCCAGCGCTTGACCAGGCCGGTGATGGTGTGGATCGGATAGTTGTCCAAACAGGCCTCTTCCGGTGCTAAAACAAACATCCAAACATCTTGTTTATAGAGAATTGGTGAAGCTGACTTTCCAAAATGGAGTAAAATTGGTGAGTATTATATCAGTGCTTATGAAATGTATGTCTTTGATATTATTGATCATGTATCAGTTGTAGTTGCAAGCTTCAAAGTGTGAAGTCTGCCCCCCAAGCCTCAATTCATCCCAGAATGTCAGCGTGATAGAGCTCAAGTCTTTGCCAGCTAAAGAACTTTGTGTTCATGTCGAAGAATTCTCTTTCAGTTGGAAGGCAGGCACCAATACAACTCTATGGAGTAATACTTGAAATAATTGCTGAAAAAGAAAATGTCCAAATGTTTTTCCAAATCATTATTTGACAGTGATTAGATTCACAAACCCATCTGATTATTATGTTTTAAAATACTTTCTGTGTGTTTTTAGAATATTCCAATTCAATTAAATGTATTTATGCATAGTCTTAATTCACAACAGCACTCGTCTCAGAGGACTTAACAAAGTTGTTGTTTCACCAACAACAACTCTGAAAATCAAACAGGAAATACATCAATAACAAACACATAGGAGCCATTGGTCCAAAGGGAGCAGGACGACCACTCTCAATGAATGTTAATACTTTTCCTATTTGTTGCCCATGTGTGTGGGTACAGTGATTTCTGTATCGTGCAGAAAGTTATCATTTTGTTTTGTTTGGCTCAATATAAAGTATTAAATCAATACTTAATACTTTCATGAGAAAAAATTATATATATATTTTATGAAAGTCTCTGCTTAGACCGCTGCTCCAGCAACAAAGCTTCAGATAAAGTGGAAGAAAATGGAGGGATGGAACTTTGAGAAAGTTTTTTTTTGTGTGGATGAGGATAAATTAGCTCTAAATAAGTCTGACTTATGATAGTTACCGTAGTGATGAGTAGAGATTTGTCAGCTCCCCTCCACCACAATTGTAAAATTATAAAGACGGTTGTGAATGCAACCCATAACACCAGCAGGTCTGACATTTTCATTATCTTGTTTCTAGTAATAAAGTGTTGCGATAACATGTTTCTCACTTGTCTCGAGGATTTGGTGCAACTCTCTGGCGCGACACGTGGACCCAGACTTCCTGTAGATCCCCTCGGTGTAAAGACCATTGAGCTCCACGTGCATCAGCAGCAGCTCCACCACTTTGGGCACTGGGTTCACTTTACTGGTGAGGACGCACACCTGCACCCCGAAATATAGCGAGCCAGGCACGTTTTCATCCTGAAATTATTAGTTTTTTAATACATGCGATTGACCTTTATTATTACTGTTAAAGTTACATGTTCTGTTCATACCATCCTAGAGCAGCGCGTTGAGCAATTCGTAATGATTTTGGTGAGGCATTTTTTGTGGCATATCAACTTGCAGGCTGAAAGTATACCAACAAAATACAGGGTAGAATATGTGTGTTTTGTTTTTCTGTTTTTCTATTTCTGTAGACATGACCTGCACATCACATTAAAACTACTCATAGAACTTTGATTAAAATACATTCACAGCAAGTTCAAAAAATCACTGTAACAAGAATTACATAGAACTCAGGAAATTAGAAAATCATTCAAAAGTTTGATAATTTAAATCTGTAATACTTTTTTGTGAAACCAATGAACGACAAACTCAATACATGAAAAGTGACATATTCCAAGCTGTTTTTATAACTTTGATGATTATGGTGTACAGTCCATTGCCAAAATATATAATACAAATATTCTAATATTCTGAAATGTTTTATTTGGGGTGTGAGCCAACTATAAACATAACACATACGGCCTGATCAATCTCACTTTGTAATGAGAGTCATCTATTAGTTGCACATAGTAAGAAAATTTACTTTTGAACCATTTTCAAATTTTCACTTGTACATATGAGCATACTGGAATCAAGTGTGACATACTGTAGTACCATAGTAATGCATCAGGTTTGCTCATTAGATAGACGCCCCAAAAAGCACTGATGCTTATAACATCTGAGTCTCCATAGAGTGAGACCATGACTGATGATTGATTGATACAACATTGTGCATTTATATGAGACATAAACAACATACCACTGCACATGTACGCCTTCTCCATCCCCCAGATGTAGGAACCGCACAAGTCACAAGACTGCATGATGTTGACTTGGTAAGTGCTGAAAAGGTGATCCAATGGGCTGTCGGGCTAAAAGAAAGAAAGAAAACTGTATATTTTTGATACTTCTTACATGATTGATAATGTCCTCTGGAATCTGCCATCTTGAATTTAACGCTTTTACAGGTGAAACTTGGAAAAAGTTACGTTTTATATTAGTTAAAATGGGAAAATAATATAAGACATATTTAAAGTGAGGTATATGAAGTATTTATTTGTTATAATGATGAACATTTTGGCCCACAGCTTGTAGAAAAGACTACTTGAATATCTTAAACACTGACACTAAACCATAATCCAATCTTCATATTTGTCACTTTGTATCATGAGTCTATATCATTTTCACAATTTTGAGTGGAGACATTGAAATAAATGAACTTGACCCAACTTCACGAAACAGTTAAAAGATATAAAAACACTTACACATTTCTCCTTTTTGGGCCTCTTTTTTGTTTGTTTATTCGGCTGTGGGATGTCAAAGAAAATATTAAACATTTTATTGAGTAAAGATTGATCTAAATATTCTCGGGCTCCGTTACCTTCACCGGATCCGACTCCGTTCGTTTTAACTCTGCTCTCACGAAGATGTCGAGCACGGACTGGAACAAGTTTACCACCAGCGACACTTCTGCTTTCTGTTTGGCTCCAGCCAGAGAGTTTACTTTGTTCTGGTAACCTTTCATCAGGTCCTTGTATGCTATCTGAGGTTTCTGTCGGAGAATACAAACTCATTATTATTTTGGTGATTTGTTTTCCTTCCGTATATAAAAAAAAAAAAAAAAAACACAATTCTGAACTGACTCTTTGGCTTAAAAACTGCTGAACCAACCTGAACAGAAAACATGCTTTTGATGGTCTCTCTGAACTCCATTGTTGCAGTGAGGAAGATGGTCTCTGTCGGAGTGAGCTCTTTGACACGTAATTTGAGTTCATTCACCTGGAAAAATACATATTCTTTATAGTACAGTAGCATGAGATCAGCTAAAATCCAAAAACATTCTTCCTGAAAACATGAGACAGGTTTCTACTCTGAAGGTTGAAAACGTTCTGTTTGGCTGTGCATTCAACTGAAGGATTGTAATCTTTTTAATATACTGTGATTATTAATGATTTGGGTGATTTTCATTTCTTTTGTTTTGAGTTTCCCTGTGTTGCGCCATACAAATAAACTCGACTTGCCCTGATTGTATGCAGACTCTTTTAACATACTGTGATTATTCATTTAGAATGAAATGTACCCAGTTCCCTATTTTGTTTTGTTAAGCACTTTGTTAAGTTGTCTTGTATGACCTGCGTTATACAAATAAACTTGCCTTGCCGACTATAGGTGCCGTTTTAATAGGTTTTATTTTCACCTGATTTCCGAGATATTCGTCCAGGTTGCGGAGTTCTTTCGGATCAGTGATCTCCCGGTCCAGGGAGGCGTTCCACTCAAGGGCGCGAGTGGCGCGGCTGATGCAGATGGTGGGGTTTCGAGACGGTCGGCCGCTCGGCTGATTCGGCATGTGGTACGGGTGAGGAGAGAGCCGGGGCAGCGTAACTACGGAGACGCAGAAACGCACGTGTCATATTATCGGCTGTCATCTCTAAATATGTAGCAATGTACAGGTGAAACTCTGGAAATTAGAATATCGTTCAAAAGTCCATTTACTTCTGTAATTCATCTTAAAATGTATAACAAATGAGTTCATTACAATATCACATTATTCTTTGTGCTATTGTGTTGATAAGTGGCTTAGAGTGATTTCACCTCAAATAAAACATCTCAGAAAATTGGAAAATTGACTTTTAAGCCAAAATCATCACATAAAAAAAGGCACATGTCACTTTGCATGTAATGAGTCTATCATATATTGGTTTCATATAAGCTGAATTACAGACCTTTTGAACGATATTCTAATCTATAATAGATGGATAGATAGGTTTACATGTTTTTTGATCCGCATTCATTATGATTGCACCCACAGTCTGATCTATTTTACTGTCACATCAATTTCCTGTCTACACTCTCACAGGAATCAACAGCCTGACCAAACAGGTCAGGACCAGGGGTCAGGGGGTCCCGGAAACACCCCTTCCGCTCTATAGCCTCCCACAGAGACATTAAAGGTGATATCAGCAACTTAAATTGTGTTTTTCTTCTTTTTTTTTTTTTTTTTTAAAAGAATGTACATTTCTGATCATGGGACACAATATTGTTATGTACAGCATAATCCAACAATAATATATTCAAAATAACCTCTCACTATGACCGGTAAGATTTTATTGTTAAAACAATAACGTTGGTCCTCAAACTTCAATTACTCTCTCTTAATGAAAAATGTAAGTAACGGACATTCACCTTAAAAGAGTATGTTGAAGTTTTTAACACGCTAACAACAAACCTTCTCAAACCTGATTTCAGCTCGTCTTCGATGTTGCTCCTTCCACTGTAATCTTTCACCGTTTAAAACCCATAGCTCCACAAGGAATGTTCTGAGGCATGGCTTTATCTCAATAACTTTACGAGTTAAATAAGGTAGTATTTGACTTGAATATATGTTAATTTTACTTTGACATACTGCATTTGCTCATTGCCAAAGTAAATTGGTTACACAACGTCTTGGCAGTAAAGCCATGTGACTGTCTATGTATTGCACAAGGCACAACAACAGTAAACCTAGCACCCTTGTCTTTTTTACTTACAGAATATATAAGTACATAATACATGTACATTCAAAATAAAGAAACAAAACCCCAACAACTCCCGCCAAACTCCACAGCTAAACTCCAGCTTAAACTCCAGCTTAAACTCCAGCTTAAACTCCAGCTTAAACTCCAGCTTAAACTCCAGCTTAAACTCCAGCTTAAACTCCAGCTTAAACTCCAGCTTAAACTCCAGCTTAAACTCCAGCTTAAACTCCAGCTTAAACTCCAGCTTAAACTCCAGCTTAAACTCCAGCTTAAACTCCAGCTTAAACTCCAGCTTAAACTCCAGCTTAAACTCCAGCTTAAACTCCAGCTTAAACTCCAGCTTAAACTCCAGCTTAAACTCCAGCTTAAACTCCAGTTTAAACTCCAGCTTAAACTCCAGCTTAAACTCCAGCTTAAACTCCAGCTTAAACTCCAGCTTAAACTCCAGCTTAAACTCCAGCTTAAACTCCAGCTTAAACTCCAGCTTAAACTCCAGCTTAAACTCCAGCTTAAACTCCAGCTTAAACTCCATCTTAAACTCCAGCTTAAACTCCAGCTTAAACTCCAGCTTAAACTCCAGCTTAAACTCCAGCTTAAACTCCAGCTTAAACTCCAGCTTAAACTCCAGCTTAAACTCCATCTTAAACTCCATCTTAAACCCCAGCTAAACTCCAGCTAAACTCCAGCTAAACTCCAGCTAAACTCCAGCTAAACTCCAGCTAAACTCCAGCTAAACTCCATAATGATGAGAGATTGTTGCAATGACCTCAAGGTGGCAGTACATATTAAACTAATGATACATCTTTTATTGCCCTCCCACCACTAATGCTGTAAGCTCCAGTAAAACCACCAGATCTCTATTCTTAGCCCACAGTGACTAAAGTGAAGAGTGAATAATAAAGTGAATAGATATTACCTGATTTGTCATGGGAAGAATCATGGCTGTGGATATATTTTGGCGTTCGCTTCTTCAAAAATCTACTTAGGAACCAAACCCTGAAAATATAATTCAGGTATAAACAAAAGTAAATACAATATTCTTCACGGCCAAAATATCTCATACCGCTCGGGTGTAGTAAGAGTTTGATTCCCGTCCTCCTCCGAGTTTCTTGGGGGCAGGCTGAATCTAGATCCATCGGGTTCGGCTGCGATTTTCTAAACAACATAATACTTTTGAGATTTAAAGCTAATAGTCCATCAAAAATATGAAAACCAAAATGAATCTTAGTTAAATTTTTTTCCCCATGACACCTGCTGGAAACACCAAAGAAAGTCCATGGCCACCTTGTACCAAACCAAAAGACACCACTCTTTTTCATGCAGCTGATAATGAGTTTTTATAGACGTTTTAAAATGCGTTTTCTGTAACTTTTTCTGTGAATGATTTGTCTCTGGCTTGTCTTATTGAAGATGTCATTGCTTTACGTTATATTTGACATGGCATTTATTAAAACATATCTATGACTGTAAGACTTTAGGTAGTGCCTGCTATTGAAAGTGTGTGCTAGAAAGATTGTTTAAAATATCCTGTAGACTGACATTCAAAAAGTATTTAGGGATATGTTTCTACCAAAAAAATGCAACCAGTCCGGTTAGCCGCTAATGCCGGATCTTTGTTATTCTGGCAAAAAAAAACGTTGATAGGAAAATGTAATAGACAGAAGAGGACCGGCATAACACAATCCTCTCCTGTCACAAAAGAATGACACACTGAATAGAAAAATGGAGTTACCCCTGCGGAAAACAAGAGTTGGGACCTCAAGGGTCGGGACCTCCTCTGATTGATTTGAATACACCTTGAATGTATTTTTGTTCATATAAAGCACTTTGAATTACACCTTATATGAATTGTGCTACACAAATATATTTTGATAGATAGATAGATTTGGTAGATTGATTTAAGGAAAAGCAATAACATCTATATCAAGACAAGCAGGTAGTAGACCCACCACCGGATCTCTAAATACAGTATATGTTAATTTGTTGTTTTATAAATCTGCGTATCTTGAGGACCATAACATATATAGAGTCTTTGCCACTCCCTATAATGCTTTTCGGCTTGAGGGGGTCGCTTCCATAGAAGCTGTTGGAGTTGTGGAAGCATGTCCTGATGAGACCAACAACCAGTTTGAAACTTCAAGGACCATGGAACAACTTCAAACACTTTTGTTGAGGCTCTAAAACAATAGAAACTTTCTCCACCTGCTGGCTGTTTTCCCTGTTTGACTCAATAAATGAGGTACAGATATTTTCAAGCTTTAGTTTAATTTAAACATCTCTGAAGGTTTACGAAAGTTAATATTAGCGTCTTATATGACATATAACTTATATGACAATGGCATGGGACCCCCCCCAGCTCGCAAAGCATTATGGATTTGCACAAGTAGCGAATGTGACACTAAAACGAGGCATTTCTTTCTCTGATCTGCCTTGCACATGTAGTAAAGAAATGTAAAAAAATAAATAAAAAAAAAGTAAAATGAGCTTTGGAAATCCAGTAAAACATTTCCATTGGCCTGAGAAGCAGTGGCTCATTTGTGGGACGCGTACATGCGACAGCGGCATGCAGAGGAGAACTGTCCCGGTCAAAGTACCTCCAGCCTGGACACGGCCCGCACATCCACAGTACTGACAGAGCTTTTCAGGTGGGCCACATGGGGGCTGATGGGAGGAAGGGGAAAGCTCCAAAACTCTTTCTCTCTGGAGCCTCCAAAGTTAATGACCAAGCCGCTGCGGGTGTAGGCTAAGCGCCGTTTGCGTTTGTGTTTCTTTCGCAGTTGCACCGAGTCCTAATTATTCAGGTGAAACCCAGAGCACACATCCTCAGTCCATGGTTTACTCACCACCATTCTCATTAGCACACACATACACACACATGCTGCAATACATGTAAAAATACATGAGAAAACTGGTTTGATGTCCTCACCTCTCCTGCAGACGGCGAGCTGTCAGAGGAGCTGTGTGTGGACAATTCATCAGCAGACATGGATTTTCCTTTATTACTAAAAACAAAGGGAAGGACAAAACGGTATGTCTCAATATCCTGCGATCTGTTTTGTCTGTATTTATAATTACTCACATGTTAAACATGTGAAAACATTAGTCATTTTTAAGTCGTTTGTCAAGATTAACAAACACATACTGTACATTTGTAAATCAACATATTTGTATTGTCAAGGGTTCTCCTGGTGGGGCATACTACAGTCGAAAACATGATTGCCACGAGGTGGAAGCCCCCTCACTCATCATCTCCCCATCAATGGATTATGACAATTGTTCACAGCACAAGTACGCAGCAATAGAGAGAATACCATTAACGTGTGGAACAGTATAAACCAGCTAAAGGCAGCGTTTGTTTCGTTTTGAGTGCAGATTTTCATGTTGAGTTTTGGTCCGAATTTTCGTCTGTGTACAAAAACTAACGTTTTCTATAGGTGTCTTCTTTACTCACTAAGATGAAAACAAAATTCTGAAGGGACTCACTGATACTCGCCGCGCCTGTTGCGCTCTGGACTGGCCCCGTCAGCGGGCAGCCGCTCCCTCCAGCGGTCGGCCTTCTCCTTGATGCCGCTCATGTCCTTGTAGCGGTGCAGACCCTTGGAAGGGCTGTTCTCTGTGTAGGCGTTGTCCAAGGGCAGGGACAGGGGCCGGTGCAGAGGGGGGGTGCTGTCGCGTCTCGGGCCTGATCCAGGCTCAAGGCCGCGGCTCGGGCTCAGCTCCACCGGAGTCTGACGCTTCAGCTCCTTTTTGCTCAGACTGAAACACACCACAGAAAAGAAATATGGGTTAAGGTTGTCAAAAGCTATAAAAAAACTATATCAAGCAATACTAAAACTGAAAACTAGATACGGATTAAAGTAAAGATACTGTATAAAATTATAATTGTTGGGTTTTTTTACTTAAAAAATGTAAGTTAATTGTCCAAAAAGAGCATTTATAATCAGCATGGTATTAAATAATATTTTGAACATTGGTGACACAATTCTTTATTTGGGTTCGAGGTCCTTAAACTGCGTGGACTCCATTTTACCAAGTGAGACCAGTCTTAACCTGAAGACGTTATGAAATGAGCGGAGTCTGGTGTCCTCCTGCTTGGTTTTAATAAAGAAAAAACAGCAGCTTTAGGTGGCTGAGCCACACAAAACAGGTATAACAGATGAAAACAAACGCACCGATCCCGACCGGGCCTCCCCCTCCCGCTTTCATTCTCCATCAGAGACGTCCTCCAGGCCATCTGGATCACTGTCGCTGCTCGGTTCTGCTTTTCATAAAACTCACGCCAGCATCTCTGCAACATTACAAATCATGAGAGATCATTTAGAGATACATTACATTACTGGTGGCAATAATCAACTAGTGTTATATAAACATTTGAATGTGCATGTGCGCGTCACTGGGTCAAAAAAATCGCACAAATTTTTTAATTAGCCAGGTGCTCTACAAGGATACACAAAACATTGTTGAGAATACCAAAAAGTGGCCTTTTTCAATGAGAAGAGAGTGAGGAGGATGTGAGATCCGATGCACACAAGCTGTAGTAAAACCTTACATAAATAAAACACGCATTTGCCTATATTATGATCAGAATCACAATCTAGCGTGATTGAAATCTATAAATGATTCCACACAAATATCCTTGCTGAGAGTTAATTTGCAAAGAACAGAATACATTTTTGAGGATTGAAATATTGAGAAATGGACTTAAAAACCAAGATATTTATTGTTGTTAGCAGTCTGTATACATTGTAAATACAGCATTGCATCTGCTCATACAACTATTTAAAACTAGGGTACCTAACTTTTCTTTCTCCATGATAAGTTTCTCCCTCCCCCTCACTCCTCCCTGTCTTTCCGGCTTACCCCCTCCCTGTCCCCGCCCCCTCTGACAGCCACACTAGGCGGTCGGAGGTGCTCATCCCAAGAATAAACTCTGTTTTACACAAAGCACACTGTGTCTATCCAAGTGTCTGTGAAACTGTGTGTTATTCCTTTCTGCTGTTTCTACTGTTTGTCGCACGGCGCCGTGGCAAGAGCTCTGGTGTGTGCCTTCTTCTCTGTCTGGTGCACACTAGGGTAGTCTTGCACAGTTTTTCCAATGTGGTTTTACTGCAAATGGCAAATAAATGAATCTGAATGTGAATCTGTTGTTTGTCCCAACATAAAGACAAGAGTAATGTAAACGTAAAACATTGGGAGCAAATCAGACCACAACAGACAGTCTTCATCATATTAGAAAATATCTTTTGCAAGTGAGCCTCTATTTGGGTTGAGAGCTGAGAGCTGAGAGCTGATTGGCTGAGTGCGGATGGTCCTCTCTTTTGAACCTTTCTGTCCGGAAAAAGCTGATATAAAGATGTGAAAGAGGCCAAACATACATGCACTCGAGATTGAACCAATTGAGATTGAGGAGTTACATTGGTTTTATTACATAGTTCCCTTTTGTGTTTTTTAAAATGTAGGTTCCCTCACTTTAAGTCTTGTCCATGTGCAGTGGGTGAGAGGTGTACCTGAATGAGCAGAGTTGCGTCTTTCTTCTGAATGAAATGTTTCCGGATCAAACAGGACCTGAACCATCGCTGCAAAACCACAATGTGGCGTATGATCACAGTGTTCTGAGTGTCTCGAAGAACCTGCCGCTCGTGAGCTTTGAGGAAAACCTTTGGAGGAGAGAGTAAAAAGGTAAAATACGAAAAACAGGTGATAAAAATGCTATATTTTGTAATAAAGTGAATATGTAACAAGTGCAAATGTATACAAAGGCAGAAGGACATGTTGTGCTTCATACACAGAGGTTAGTGCCTTCATCATCGTGAGTGTACCTTTGTCTTTCCTATTTGGTAAGAAGACTTGTCAAGCTTCATTTTCTCCAGGAGCTGAGAGATGTGCTCTGGAGTTGGAGTGGCCCCTTTTGGAAGCAACATCCGGAATTTCCCCACAAAATCCTGTTACATAAAGAAACAACAGACTTTTCCACACAACGGTATGTCATCACTTACAGCACTACACACAATCATCATCAATGTCACACAACACTCAATACGGGTTGAAAGACATGCGACCGAAGGATTCTCTGTAATATTCACAACAGTTAAAAGTTGTGATTAGTTTTTTGAATAATTACAGCCCGAGTTGTTGCCATTTGATACTTCACTAATATGATCTATATTGGCTCAATGCCACAAAATGAGCGAGAGCAACTTCTACAAATTGAACTTTTTTTAAGTGAGTAATCATGAATCAAGTCTTTTTGTTTGTACATAGTGTGCGTAAACTTCTGCTTTTCACAGTATAGAAATAGTTCTGATAAGATCTAAAATACAAACTAAAAATAATAATAAAAAAATATATATTTATATAAATGGAAAAGTTCTGTATGCACTTATGTTGTATTTTATTTTTTACGTTTGAAAAATATTTAAAAAAAATATTGAAATTGATAATAAATAAATAAAGAAGTTTTGCTTCACAGATAACGAGGACACATTTTGGAGCGTCTTCTTATGGTATCTGTCCGAGAGTTCCAATAGTTCACCTTAAAAGTGTACTTGGCGCTGTATCCCGCCTTCTGCATCAGGACCATCTGCAGCAGACCCGTGTTGTGAACCTGTCGTTTCACCAGCTCTGTGTCAAAGTGCATCTCTTTCTGCAATAAAAAGATATCTTACAGCTTCTTCAGTAAAACCAGCAAAACCATGATTTTCTTACCAATTCATTGTTAGAGCGTAAGCAGACTATGAAAAAGGGATGTGCTTTTTCAATTCTTTCCAGGAGTTTTTGAAGAGATGCCTGTAGAAAAAAGTTTATGAGAAATGATAAACGACAAAAGATGTAATTTATTTGAGACAGTACCTGGAACTGAACACAAACAGAGAGCGGCGAGATGGGTCCGTCAGGATGAGCTGTGGCTTTACTGGTTCTATCGTGAACAGTGACACCGACGATGTGTTGAAGAGACCGCAGATCCATCAAGTTCTGTTTGAAACGAGAAATGCACAAATACAGTGGGGCAAAAAAGTATTTTGTCAGCCACCGATTGTGAAAGTTCTCCCACTTATTATGGTGGAAAATAAGTATTTGGTCAATAACAAAAATTCAACTCAATACTTTGTAATATAACCTTTGTTGGCAATAACAGAGGTCAAACGCTTACTATAGGTCTTCACCAGGTTTGCACACACGGTAGCTGGTATTTTGGCCCATTCCTCCATGCAGATCTTCTCGAGAGCAGTGATGTTTTGGGGCTGTCGCAGAGCAACACAGACTTTCAACTTCCTCCACAGATTTTCAATGGGGTTGAGGTCTGGAGATATGCTTCTTACGGAGCCACTCCTTCGTTGCCCGGGCGGTGTGTTTGGGATCATTGTCATGCTGGAAGACCCAGCCACGTTTCATCTTCAAAGCTCTCACTGATGGAAGGAGGTTTTGGCTCAAAATCTCACAATACATGGCCCCGTTCAATCTTTCCTTAACACGGATCAGTCGTCCTGTCCCCTTAGCATAAAAACAGCCCCAAAGCATGACGTATGGTGTTCTTGGGATGCAACTCAGTATTCTTCTTCCTCCAAACACGACGAGTTGAGTTTATACCAAACAGTTCTACTTTGGTTTCATCTGACCACATGACATTCTCCCAATCCTCTGCTGTATCATCCATGTGCTCTCTGGCAAACTTCAGACGGGCCTGGACATGCACTGGCTTCAGCAGGAGGACATGTCTGGCACTGCAGGATTTGATTCCCTGTTGTCGTAGTGCAGCCATTCCCAAACTCAGTAACACCGAGGCCCCCTTAAAAATCTGACGGGTCTGCGTGGCCCCCCAAAATAATAACCAAGAAGACAACATTAAGAATAGGCTCTTCTGGTTATTTTATTTTGGGGAAATAGCCTCTGCTACAAACATTGTAATACAAAAATGATTACAGTGGATTATTAAAGTCAAATAATGAACACAAATATTTTAATATTACAAACAAAACATTATAAATTTAACATTAAATAATTATATTATTTTTTTATTTTTTTTATGACCTCCCGCGGCCCCCCCTGCAGGACCCCACTTTGGGAGACACTGTCGTAGTGTGTTACTGATGGTAATCTTTGTTACTTTGGTCCCAGCTCTCTGCAGGTCATTCACCAGGTCCCCCGTGTGGTTTTTGATTTTTGATCACTGTTCTCATGATCATTTTGACCCCACGGGATGAGATCTTGCGTGGAGCCCCAGATCGAGGGAGATTATCAGTGGTCTTGTATGTCTTCCATTTTCTGATAATTGCTCCCACAGTTGATTTGTTTACACCAAGCTGCTTGCCTTTTGTAGATTCACTCTTCCCAGTCTGGTGGAGGTCTACAATTCTTTTCCTGGTGTCCTTCGACAGCTCTTTGGTCTTGGCCATAGTGGAGTTTGGAGTCTGACTGTTTGAGGCTGTGGACAGGTGTCTTTTATACAGATAACGAGTTCAAACAGGTGCCATTAATACAGGTAACAAGTGGAGGACAGAAGAGTTTCTTAAAGAAGAAGTTACAGGTCTGTGAGAGCCAGAGATCTTCCTTGTTTGAAGTGACCAAATACTTATTTTCCACCATAATTTACAAATAAATTCTTTAAAAATCCTACAATGTGAATTCCTGGATTTTTTTTCATATTCTGTCTCTCACAGTTGAGGTGTACTTATGATGAAAATTACAGACCTCTGTCATTATTTTAAGTGGGAGAACTTGCACAATCGGTGGCTGACTAAATACTTGTTTGCCCCACAGATACATAACTCATAACATGATTTCAACACATTCTACATGTATAGCACATTTTACATACATTTTATTTTTTAAATGCATAGGTTGCCTCTAACTATAAATCAGACTGTAGAAAATACAAATGTATAAAAAATAGAATTACAAAACAAACATACACACACAAAATGTAAATAATATATGGTGATAATATATTTGTGAATAAAAAAAAGAAAACAAACCTTTGGGATGAGCTGTTTTTGTCTCCCCCCTTTACTTTTCCTGTGGATGATAATAATAATAATAGTAATAATAATAATATTAAAGATGCAGTAAATTATTTATCCAGACGCAATTTTTTAAATACTGTGGGGAAACGTCCCTAAACCCCAAAATTAGTCAAGTTAGTGTTTTCAAATAGGAATGGACATGACCTATTTTGGAGCGGACCAATAGAAAGAAACCAATGCGTTCATCTCCCTCTCCCCACCTCCTGTTTTTCGGCAGTGCATGCACCTTTCAGAGTTAATTATTGAGTCAGATTTTCATAGAAAACCCCCAAAGTGCCAATTTCACGTTTACCACGAACTCACCCTGTTGTGGCAAAAAAGAGAAAATGAGATGAGGAAAAGCGGGTTGTATAAAAAGACTCAGGACGCAGCCAGGTTTGTTGAGGAAAACAGCGCACACAGACTTGAGCCCTATAATGTAGTGTAATGCGTTCACATTTCAGGCTGGGAGGCGTTATTACAGAAACAGCGTTCGTGCTGGGAGTTGGGTTTGGTGGAGGGCAGAGGGAGTGGTTTTGAGTCGGTGCTACTCGGATACTATTGCTAAAATCTAACCTGAATCCTTTACTGAACATTTATGCAAAAAGAAGGAAATATAAATCGATAAAAGTGATTTCACACTTACTTTCTTTTTTCATAATTTGCAAATATATCCTCAAAGACTTCAAGAGGATGTTCGTCTGATCGATCAAAAGAGAAATCCAATGTCCAACTGTTACTGTAAAAAAAAAAAAAAAAAAACCCTCTTTTTTATTAATAAAATCTTGTATATCATATTAAAAAAATAACTATGTAGATTAAAAAAAATGACAGAAATCTGAAGTTAAAAATCTCTTTTTTACCTGGACAGACGCTGAGACTTGCGTTTCAATTCTTGTAACGATTTACAGGATGGGCGTTTAGCAGCCACTGTGAGAGGAGAAAAACCAGTCATGAAGAAAAGACGTTATTAGTCTTATATAGTGATTATTATACATCAATAAAAACTCCAATCACAGCAGCTCGAGAAGTCATGTCACATTTTTATGTACAAGTATTCACACAGCATCAATGTATTGTACTTAAAGCTGAGGTACATAACAAGTACAAAATATGGTGGAAAATTCAAATTGTTCCTTGCTGTCAAACTGTTTTCACCTGCGTGTATCTGCTTCTGTCACAATTTTAGATCTGCTTTTTCAGACAGAAAAGTGAAAAACCAATTAGACCAATGCAAAAAGACCAATTAGAACAATACTAAGGTGTTTTCTGTTTTATTGTTTGATTCTCTGATGTTGGCAAATTCTACAGTTGTGTAAAATCCTCTGAGATAACTACTGCAGTGATCTATACAAGAATAAATTGAATTAAATTGCATTGCATAGGGTACAAAAGATAGTATGTTTATTAATAAGTTGAAGACAGCAATTCGAGGTCTGATTTATGTGTTTTTTGTTTTTTTTCACAACCCCAGCTTTAAGGAGCCAAACTTACACATTTTGGCTCTTCTGCGCGCCAGGCTTTTGAACACAGAGAGGATGCGGATGGTGGCTCGTAGGACCCCCCATCGGAAGAGCGCTTGAGGACTGGAGCAGACCAGGTGGTGAAGGAACGCCGTCTCACTGCTGCGGAGGAGAGACACCACCTCTGGGCGCATGTGCTCGCGGGTTTTATCAACAAAATCCTGAAAATGATAAAGATTAGAGGCAACAAAAACAGTATATTAACTGATCAACCAGTGGGTCTCAGCACTACTTAGCTCTATGATCAATAACTTCTATACTATCAAAATGAACCGGACAATAAAGAATACAGGTGCTGGTCATATTATTAGAATATCATGAAAAAGTCGATTTATTTCATTAACCTCTTAACATCCGCCTCATTTTGGCTCGTGCACAATGGTTGGGCATACCCAAATGTCTTTGCTTATTTAAAAACACATCTTACATCTCACATGCTTGTGTGATGCATCATTTTAAAGCTAGAGCCTTCTAGTTTATGTAAAAAAACTAAACTAAAATAATGTTTGTCATCCCTATTTTCCTCTGCATCCTTTGAAGTTAGGGAAAAAAACCCAATTTTTTTAGCCTCGCCTAACATTTTCAATTTCTAAAGGCCCTAAAAAAGGCATACTTCATTGTAAGTTCACAATATTCAAACCCTCTGTTCATTGTGTTGTTGACAACAACTGTCTAAAGTTTCAGACTTCTAAGTTTTATAGTTTTTATGCAGTTTCTCCTTTTCATCAAGTAGTGCACATTTGGCACAATTTGGCACACTTGTGCCAAATTGTGCCAAATATCTTTACTTACATTTAATCATCATAAAAACGATATTTTTTATTATTGGTACTTATAAGTTACTAATCTATGTGTGTTTTTCTTTTTTAAATGTCAAAGTTATTTTTTTATGAGTGTAAATTCATTAAAGCTTTGAGAGCATCTTTTGGCTTCCATTACGCACAATTGTCCAGGCCCAACATAAGACAGGACACCATTGTCCCACCCCTTGTTCGAAAGCGTTCCTCATTGGCTACAAGGACATGTCAATCGTAAATCCCGGAAGTAAAAGCAAACAAGTTGGGATCACAACAAAGATCAGTGATCAATGCGCAAACAGCAGCACTAGCTGCACTCGCGGGACCTCTTGCAGACCCAAAAATTGGTTTAGCTTTTCGGGAGTAGTCTCATTTGCTAAGGAACACGTGGATACCAGAAAACAAAGCTAAAAGTCCGTTAAAAGTGAAAGAGTAACATCTGTGCTCTTTTTTTTCGTTTTTTTCGCTAAAGATAAATGCACATTTTTGGATTATTTCTGCAGAATGGATTTTACTTTGGGAAATACAAGTGGATATAATTTTCCTTTGGACTGTTCCAGAGAGAATGATGTATTGCAAGCTGGGAGGAGAGCTGATTTATTTGTACAGCACAAGCCCAAAGGTAAAAAACTATTTCGGAATTGATTTATTTTGTGCCCACATTATGTGTTATATATTTTGAATGCAAAGTCTGATGTGGTTTACACTTGTATATAAATGTAGATAAGAAAATAAGCTTTAAAATGATATACAGCTTTTGGGGTTTGGTGTTCAAAATACATCTGCTATTGCCAGCAGAACATTTAAAAACATAAAAACAGCCGCCGGCGCGCCGGTGTTAGTAAAGAGGTTAATTCCATTTAGAAAGTCAAACTTGTAGAATGTATATATTCATTCCAAACAGACTAATATATTTCAATTGTTATTTTGGCCAAAAGAAGACAATATAGCTGACAACCAATGAAAACACTAAATTCAATATCTCAGAAAATTAGAATATGGTGAAAAGGTCAGATATTGAAGACACCTGGTGCCACACTCTAATTAGTTAATTAACTGAAAACACCTGAAAAAGCCTTTAAATGGTCTTTCGTTTTGATTCTGTATGACACACAATCATGGGGAAAACTGCTGACTTGACAACTGTCCAAAAGATGACCATTGACATGTTAAATAAGGAGGGCAAGACACAAAAGGTCATTGCCAAAGAGGCTGGATGTTCACAGAGCTCTGTGTCCAAGCACATTAATAGAGAGGCAAAGGGAAGAAAAAGATGTGGTAGAAAAAAGTCTACAAGCAAGAGGGATAACCGCGCCCTGGAGAGAATTGTCAAGAAAAACCCATTCAAGAATGTGGGGGAGATCCACAAAGAGTGGACTGCAGCTGGAGTCAGTGCTTCAAGAACCACCACGCACCGACGTATGAAAGATTTGGGCTTCAGCTGTCTCATTCCACAGGTAAAGCCACTCTTGAATAAGAGACAGCGTCAAAAGCGTCTCGCCTGGGCTCAAGACAAGAAGGACTGGACTGCTGCTGAGTGGTCCAAAGTTATGTTTTCAGATGAAAGTAAATTTTGTATCTCCTTTGGAAATCAAGGTCCCAGAGTATGGAGGAAGACAGGAGAGGCACAGAATCCACGTTGCCTGAAGTCCAGTGTAAAATTTCCACAGTCAGTCATGGTCTGGGGTGCCATGTCATCTACTGGTGTTGGTCCACTGTGTTTCCTGAGGTCCAGGGTCAATGCAGCAGTCTACCAGGAAGTTTTAGAGCACTTTATGCTTCCTGCCGCTGACCAACTTTATGGAGATGAAGATTTCATTTTCCAACATGACTTGGCACCTGCACACAGTGCCAAATCTACCAGTACCTGGTTTAAGGACCATAGTATCCCTGTTTTTGATTGGCCTGCAAACTCACCTGACCTTAACCCCATAGAAAACCTATGGGGTATTGTGAAGCGGAAGATGCGAGATGCCAGACCCAACAATGCTGAAGAGCTGAAGGCCACTATTAAAGCAACCTGGGCTCTCATAACACCTGAGGAGTGCAACAGACTGGTCCACTCCATGCCACGCCGTATTGCTGCAGCAATTCAGGCAAAAGGAGCTGCAACTAAGTATTGATTGCCGTACATGCTGAAACTTTCCATCTTTCTACTTTTCAGTTGGCCCACATTTGTAATAAATATTTTTTTGTATTAGTCTTAACTAATATTCTAATTTTCTGAGATACTGAATTTTGGATTTTCAGTAATTGTAAGTACTAAACATCCAAATAAAATAAATACACATTTGAAAAATGTCACTCTGTGTCTAATGAAGTTATATAATATGTAAGTTTCATATTCTGAAAATAATTATTGAAATAAATCAACTTTTTCATGATATTCTAATAATATGACCAGCACCAGTACATCTCAAAGAAGAAATATTATTCTATTTGGGCCTATGAGACTATTTACCTGGTTAATTAGTGTTTTAGAATGTGAAAAATTATCTTAAGAAAAGAAGAAATGAACATGTTTAAAAAAATGCTTTCCGCCTGTAAGTCCCTTTGCTAACACTAGAGGGAGGACAAATATGAAAATCACTGGCGCAAACACAGCCCTGTAATTTTCTGAGTGTGATGTCATAGTGGTACATTAGTACAGGACTGAGACAGGAGGTTTTAGACAGAAGGGGCAGAGCTACAGAAGTTCCTTATATTAGCGTGGAGGGATCTAAAAACATACGACTGTTGAATGAAAGCATGGCTAAACTCTCAAAAAATAATTTTTGAGACCAAACACAAAAGTTCCCTAGATCTCAGTGTATTTTTAAAAACCCTTTTACCATCTTGAGAATATTTTAGTTTTGTCATTTTTATTGAAATGACAATAAGAAGTAGCATTAAACAGACGGCTGCAGCATAAATAGCACCATGCAAATACCACATGAAGCCCTTCTCAGTTACCAGGGATGGCTCAGTTCCAATATTGGTCCTGACTTGTGTCTTCTCAGGTTTTGGTCTTGGGATGAGACTGATGATTTTATTTAGATTATATTGTAGATTGACAAAAAACAAAACAAAAAAAACATCGGAATTCATGTGCGGGTGCAATAATTGTAACTTGACTCAAATAGTTTGTAAAGTTTATGTTTTGAGCAGCATTCCCAGGGTTGCACCAGAGGGAACCGTGTACAAATAGGATTAATTATTTACCTGCTAACACAAGATTTCCCAGGGAGGCTTATCACACTCCTGGCCACAGCAAACCAAAACTATTCCGCCAATCCTAGTGGAGCTTAACTCTTAGAATGAGAAACGCGCGTTACCTTTATGCTGTAGGTGACGCTTCCGGCAAAGTGCTGGATGGTGAAAGTCGAGTCCGAGTTTGTCTCAAAGAACGGACTGTCCTGAAGAGAAAGCTTCATCTTTTCCATCAGACTTTGATCAGTGGAGTCAGGGAGGCTGCACAAACACATTATCAGCACTAAGCTGTACATGGCATTTTAGTTGAATGATTTATTTTGTTTTCGACATATAGATATATATGAGACACATTTTTATGTATGCTACACCTGTAAATCAAAGTGAGAACAATTGTGAAAACTAGTAGAACTGGTTTAAGAGACAGGAAGCACCTGGATGACAAAAAAAATCTATTTGAAAGTTTTACATAGGGGAAGGCCATAATGCCAAGAACAAAAAAAGAAAATTGATTTTAACTTTGGATAATTGCCAGTTAATTTTATAAAGACACATGAATCCTTCTTTTCTATTTAGACCTTATTACAGATTCAATGCAGTTATATGGATAGTTTCACTCTGCCGCAGTATAAAATTAATTAAAAATTAATCAATTCTCCATAATTATAAACAAGTTAAACTTCTTGCATTTATTACACAGCCACATAGTAAAAAGTACAGCTACATTGACATTAAAAGGAAACACAGTTCAATGCATTTTGGTATAGCCCTAAATCACAAGACATCAACAGCAGTCTTCTTGTAGACTTTTTTGGACACTCACCTGCTCTCTTTGTCCAGGAGTTCAAACAGCCCTGTAGGTTTCTCACTCAATAAGTGAACGCAGCCGATGTTGTCTGTGTAGTCAATGTTCTGCCACACAAGGCCCTCTGACACATAGTCTGCCTGAATACAGAATTTACCAAAATGGATCAACATGACGTATTCAAATAAACAGCTAGAATTACTATCAGCCTCCGGTGTTATTAGTTAGTAGATAGTTTGGAGAATGAACTCTCTGGCGAATAGAACGCACACTTTTAGATATGAGACTGATTTAAACTGCTTATTCTTTAGTTAGGTCTTAAGACTTTTCTTTCCTCTCTTCAGATAGAGTATCTCTGTATTAGTCTAATTAGACCACTCTTAGAATAAGCACACCCCTATAAAATGGTAGATACAAGGACATTTCCAATCCAGAATTGTTACTACTGTGTAGATATGTTTTAGATATGCAGTGTATCCAAATGCACTGTGCATCTAAGGCATATACCCATTTTAGTTACCCTATAGTGTCATAAAGGAGGTGAGTCAGGATGTTCAGCTAACATCCATCTTCAATCATTGGTCCAAAAGGATAAAACAACCAATGTCTTAAAATGTCCATAAATATTCTTAAATGGGTTTAAATCTTTTGAAACAAATCAGTGAAGCAAGTGATCCAGACTCGGTCCAGTTCAAGTGAACGTGCCTAAAACACCAGTTTCCGCTCACCTGTTGCAGTGTAAAGATGTGATTGATGATGAAATGCTGCAGTTTCTCGTTGGCGAAGTTGATGCACAGCTGCTCAAAGCTGTTTTTATGCAGGTTCTCAAAGCCAAACATGTCCAAGACCCCGATCGACAAGCACTGACCACAACATGAGAATAATGAAGGCTTGAATTTAGGATTTAGGGATCAGTCACATGTCAAATAAATGTGAAATTGCATTGTGCTGAAATGCATTTTTATATACATTTGGAAATTAATACTCTGAAGTGGTGTGGGGTTGTGATCTGATCTTCTGAATATTATTATTAAAGCTCTTGATGTTGTTGAAGTTTTGTTTGTATCAACGAAAGTACAATTCTGAAAACTTTGCACATTGACTATGTGACGGGTGCGTAAGCGCAGGCTCCGAACACAGCTTTGCCCACTTGAAAAGAAGAAAATGACTCTCACACACTGTACTTGCAGACACCAGTGTTTTTACATATTACATTTTACATATGTGCAATGGTCTAAAATAAATCAATAAAAGGTTAAAAAAAAAAGAGACTACTCCAGGTCTATTTTTCATTATAGGTCTCCTTTAAACTCAGTGTATAGGCAGCATTTTCAATTATAAACATGTTCTATCCAAGTCCTATTCCTCAAAGAATTATATAATAGCTTTGTCATTATTGAATATTGTTTTAATGTATAAACAGATGTGAGGAGGTGATAGACTGCTGTACTTACACAGGCCATCAGTGCCTTCTGTTAATCTTAAGATTAAGAGATCCTTTATTTGTCCCACAGTGGGGAAATTTCAGTTAGGAAACTTACTTATTTCAAGTTAGGAAAGTGAACAATAGCTACTGTATACTAATAAAAATAAAACAAAATCTCTAACTCTAGCATCAATAAAACTATAAAATCTCTATCTTGAAAAAAATAATAAAAGAAGTGTAAAAGTATGACATTTGGCAAAATAAGAGGCAAGCATAAAGTACTGTGTTTTCTAGTGCAAGCAATGTGTAGTTATATGTTTACATCTGTACATTAGCAGCAGTATATTTACATCTGTACATTAGCAGCATGAGGCTCTGGGACAGGGACTTAGTAAAGTGACAGTGACATGTGGTTATTGCACATTCTGAGTTAAGGATATTGCAACGATGCATGACACGTGGGATCAAGTTGGCAGTCTTCATTAATAATAATAATAATGCATTGGTTTTATATAGCGCTTTTTTGGACACTCAAAGACGCTTCACATGTCATTATTCTTTCACTCCATACACAGTGGTGATAAACTACTACTGTAGCCACAGCTGCCCTGGGGCACACTGACAGAAGCGAGGCAACCAGTATGTGCCATTGGCCCTGCCGACCACCACCAACCATTCACACACACACCAGACTCATTCTAGGCAATGGGGGTGAAGTGTCTTGCCTAAGGACACAACGGCAGTTTGGCACTTTACAGCCGCAGCCCCACTGTGGCTGGTGTTCCCAGAGGTTAAGTGTCTTGCCAAGGACACAACGACAGCAGACAGTGGGAGTCGATGGTGAAAGTCGGGCTCAAACCCACGACCCTCTGGCTCAAAGGCCAATGTTCTACCAACTGAGCTACTGTCGCCCTATCATTAGTCCTTATTGTTTTTTGTACAGTTTGACAGCAGCAGGAAGGAAAGACCTGCGGAACCTCTCTTTCACACATTGAGGATGAATAAGTCTGTCACTGAAGCTGCTCTCCAGAGCAGAGAGAGTGTCCTGCAGGGGGTGACAGTCATGGTCCAGCATAGATAGTTAGTTTGTCCAGGACCCTCCTGTCCCCCACCTGCTGCACTGTGTCCAGGGAACAGCCCAGGACTGAGCTGGACTTCCTGATGACCTTGTCCAGCTTCTTCCTGTCCCTCTCTGTGATGCTGCTGTTCCAGCAGACCACACCGTACAAGATGGCTGATGCCACCACAGAGTCATAGAAGGTCTTCAGGAGTGGCCCCTGCACTCCAAAAGACCTGAGCCTCCTCAGCAGGTAGAGTCGGCTCTGGCCCTTCTTGAAGAGGGCGTTTGTGTTGTGAGTCCAATCCAGTTTGTGGCTCAGATGAACACCCAGGTACTTACTGAGAGAGTCCACTCTCTCAATGTCCTTTCCCTGGATATTCACTGTTCCTAATGTAAATAGTGCTTGTATATTGTTATTAAAGTGTAACTCACCGACACAGAGTCCTCCATGTCTCTCCTGTTGAGCAGCGCGTGGTTGATGTGGAAAATGATCCAGTCAAACAGAGCGCTGTACAAAGACTTGGCCATAGAGTCTCGCATTTTTGTCGCCTGCAAAGATAGCACAGTAAGAACTCTGTGTTTTACGTTATTTTAAACACAGTCAGGAGGATGAGGACATACAGGGGGGTGAGAAAGTCTGGACACCTCACATCAATAAATCAGAAGAATGGAAAAAAATTAACTATTAAAAAGACAAAAACATGAGCACTAAAGTTAAAGAGAATGGCAAGGCAAGTTTATTTGTATAGCACAATTTATACACACGGCAACTCAAAGTGCCGAACAGAATAAGATCACACAAGGCATTAAAAGCATAAACAATCACCATACATTAAAGAGAGTAAAGATACAATCCCTCAGTTGTATGCACAGCTAAACAGAAATGTTTTTAACCCGAATTTGAACATTGAGAAAGAAGAGGCCCGTCTCACATTTTCAGGAAGACTGTTCCAGATTTTAGCTGCATGAATCTGGTTTGAAATGAAGGATGGTTTCTACAAATGGTCAGTGAAGCAAAACCCATACCAGGATCCACAATAAAACCTCAAGAGACTCAAGGCTTTGTTAAGGGCTCCATGGACTGGGCAAAAAAACAAACACATCGTGGAGGTGAAAAGAGCAGTGCATTATGGGAGGACCAAAACTGCCAAAATAGTGAATACATTGATAAATGTCCACATTGGCAAATAATTATTAATTATGACGTCACAACAAATCAAAGATGAAAACATTTATATTATTATTAAAGGTCTTTAATAAATCTCTATTTTTTTTAGATGTTGGTTTATTTTTTACTAAATAATAATAAAGACATAGGAAATAAAATAAAATAAATTAAACAGATACAAATTAAATAATATAAGAATAAATACATAAATGCAGATAAATAAAAACATGTATTTGTTTTTGTTTTGAGCATCAAACACATGTTTATTCAAAATATATATATTTCTATCACTGGGTTAGGGTTATTTATTCATTAATATATCATTTAACATAGTACATGCAAGACTAGTAACCTTTCAAAGCTGGACTAGTTTTATTTATAAAAGACAAACAAGACAATACTTGGCTTCTATAAAAAGCATTTTAAAGCTGCCCAATAAGACCAGAGGAAGTGGTATTAGATATAGCTCTGCAGGGCGGCCTCTTATGCCCTTAATCTTACTTGGAAAATCTAAACAAAAAATTTTACTATGTTTGCAAAATGCAGACCATATTCTTCTGTTGTGGGCCTTATGATCTGGGGATGTTTCATAATGTATTTCCATAGCTTTACTGTCCACAAAAGCAGATTTTTTTCATCTGGGGAATCTCAACCTTCACTGTATTACACACTACGGCTGTAATGTTAGTGTTAGTGTTAGTGTGTGTGTGTGCATGTGCGTGTGCGTGTGCGTGTGCGTGTGTGTGCGTGTGTGCATGTGTGCATGTGTGCGTGCGCGTGCGTGTGCGTGTGTGTGTGTGTGTGTACCTCTTTCACTGTGAACTTGGACAGTACAACTTCAGCGGAGACAACTGCTCTCCTCGTGGTCAGAGTTGTTTGAAGAACCTCCTTTTTAACCTAAACAAAAGAAAATAACATGGTTTGACACAATACACAGCAGAAACCACCGTCTTTAGACGCGAGAAACAAGATTCAACAGGTTTTTCAGACTATAATGAAAGACAAAGCAGGAGAAAACATGACACTGTTCTGTTCTATTCAATCCTGGTAGCATTGGCTCGAGCAAATATGCGTGATTCACACTTTTATCGGCTCATTTTTAGCAGTTATTTTTACTACTGTTACTATGTAATGTCTTTGTACTATTAAAACTTTGAAACCACAACAAATAACTATGTTGTAACTAGTTCCCCGTCCATCCATCCATTTTTTCCTCTTAATCCATTTCTGGGTTGGGGGGTGCCAGTCAGGGCTGCACCCAGTTCACCAGCCCCTCACTGATCCTCCTGCAGGTGGTGAGTCCACAGGGGCCTTGATCTTTCAGCGGGGGCTTCAGGCAAAGTGGGGTTAAGTGTCTTGCCTAAGGACAGCAGTCATCAGTGGGAATCTTTTGGTGGGCTCGAACCCACAACCTTCAGGCCCAAAGGCCAATGCTTTACCACTGCCGCCCCTAGTGTAACCTGTTTACTCCAATTGTCACTATGGTATGACAAACTTTAATTTGTCTTGGATTCAGTACAACAATTGCCGCATAATGTCAGCATGACTAAGATAAGATACAGTAAACTTTATGGTTCTCACAATGTAGAAATGTACATGTCAAATTTGGCATAGCTAGAATCACACAGGGTGGGCAAAAACAAAGTAAGTGTGTAAACATGTTAAAAAGGTTTCGATATAAAAATAAAGCTAGGTTTTTTTCCTAAGCTTAAGAGACTGATTATAGATGGACAATGCTCACCCCCTAGCTCAATGAAGCCCAATATGGAAGTGCTCATAGACAAAGCTGTGCTCCAACCACTCTGGCGATTTCCACTGAAAAGTAAACTCATGAAACACTCACCATTTTGGGATTTAAAATCTGTGGTTTAGAGCCCTCTATGATTCTGGATCGGATGCCTTCATTCGCGGGGCAAACATGTTAGCAATATGTCTGTTACATCTGAAATTGGTGTTTTGTATGTTATCTATATTTGTCAAGCCCTATGATGACGTCAACGCTCGATAAGTCCACTCCTAATATACGGTCTATGAGTATTATCTGCAGTCACACATACGTTTCTCAGGCGTTTTTAGGCCTAAACTTTAAAATAGTAGAGGGAGCTTTTTCTAGCCGCCACCACAACAGAGAGAACGTACTTTGAGCAGGGCAGACAGCGTGTTCAGGGCCTCGTCTGGTCCAACCTTCAGACCGCCAGACTTAGAGGAGTACGTCAGGTTTCCCAAGTGCAGAATCACAGAGAGGATGGAAAATATCCTGGAGACACAAAGGGGAAAGAGGCCTCCAGTCATTTGCACCAAACAGCATTTCACAACAGTATGTCGGAGATAAACACACAGCCGGTGGTTATGCCAAGATCATTAGCATTTCTGCCACATTCAGACGTTGAAGGATCAGGTAGATAACTAGAGATCCACAAAGATTATCTGTAGCCAATGGAGATCAATATTCCACGTTTGACTGGCTGATAGCTGATAATTAAGGGCCTTTTTTAAAGACAGCAAAAACAGGGTTTATGGAGGACTAAAACTGCCAAAATAAAAAATGAAAGAATACATACATTTTGTCAACTTTCTATTTTAAAGCTTTGTTTTTATCTCATCTGTGGTTATTTGAATTATAACATTACGGAAGTATTTTGAACAAATTAGATTTTTTTTCAACAAAATGAGAAGCTACGCTTAGTCTGAAACAGAACTGGACAAAAGGTACAGAAGGTACAGTAGACTACTTTACAGAATAGTTTTTTATTTTTTTACAATCATTACCATTAACTTATAGGCCATGGCAGCATATCGACAGATGGGAAGAATGATATTTCAGAAACGTTAAATATTGGCCTGAAATGTCGGCCAATCCCAAAAGTTAACTTAGCTTTCAATTCGTTTGTAGCAACACGATATTAGCCCTGTGTTAAATATTCACCCTACATTCTAAAAATCTAGGGGATTAGTTAAATATTTTTCAGTAAGCAAGTTTGCATGTTATATATTTTCATTGTCGAGTGCTACAGAGTTGAGAGAAGGTGTCAAGCTGTTGTCAAACCAGCTCCACAAAGACAATAAACACATACAACAACAACAGGTTCCGAAGCAGAGATGATACTTCTCAATTATTTTTAAATGCATTTTCTTGGAATTTTACCATTTACAGACCACTATTGTTCATTTTCTGATTTCTTCAACTTTAATATAATCAGTGTGTCTAAATCAGAGCAGCTGGGTTTGTCTTGCTACATTTTTCTTTGTGACAAGTTTTGACCTGCTTCTGACTCTGGCTCACTCGTCCGACAGTGTTCAAAACCGTTTTCTCTCAAAGCAGTCAAATGAGCCGCGGCAATCACTCCCTGAGCACTTTGCAAAAGACCATTAAAGCCTGATGGTACGTATGACGGGCAACAACATACCAGCATTTTCTCAGTAATTATAAGCTGTATAAAGTCACAGAAGCATTAGTCGAGGACAAACGGGCGTCAGTAAATGGTGTGGATTGCCGGTGTGGATGGTAAATTGCCGGACCCCCTCGAAAAAGAGATGATTCATCTCAAGGGGCCATCCACAATAAATAAACAAATAAACAAAAAGTGTGTTAAAAACGGTAGGAAAAATGTGGTTGGATATTTCAAAAATTCAATTGGAAAGCTAAAGGCAAGAGGTGAATATGAGATTTTAATTTGTACAGACCCTGATGAAGATGGAGCGTAGGTTTACATTTAGTCAATCAAAAACACAACGCTTATAATACATTTGCTGCCATCTATAGTTGGAAGGCGACATTATTTGTTCTAACTACGATTTCAAATGAGAGAAAAATGAAGCTGTGGTACCTAAGGGGGTGAATATTTCAAATGTAAACGTGGTCGATGTTGCTCTTTCGGATAAGTTCTGTGTTTTTTTGACATGTGTTTCACTAACAAACCACCAGTGGACTCTGCAACTGTTCGAAGAAGGCGCATAAATTAAAATACGAGTGATCTATTTATGGAAATGTTAAACTTTGAGAATGCATCGTATTCTACTGTGGATGAACTGTTTAACTCTGTCACCTCTAGGGTTTTGAATGTTCTGGACACCATCGCTCCTTAAAAATAGTGAAAAATAAGCAGAAGGCGCCGTGGGCTAAAGCAGACTCGGTCAGGGCACAAAAGAGAAAGTGCCGGAGGGCCGAGCGGAAGTGGCGCAAGTCCAACCTCCAGGCTGATTACAAGATCTTCAAAGATAAGTTGTGCGAGTTTAACCGGGTGCTACGTAGTACGAGAGAAAGGTATTTTTCTGAAATGATTGAAGGCTGCAGCAACAATCTGCGTGTTCTGTTCTCAACAGTTAATAGATTAACAAACCCCCCTGTTCAGATGCCATTAGAGCTTACTTCCAAGCGCAAAGGCAATGCACATTTTTTCAATGACAAGGTTCAAAGTATCAAAAACGCCATTGTCTCCAATCCACAGATAACCATCCAACAGCCAAAAAGGCTCTCTGAGCTAACTCACTTTGCACCTGTAGATGATAAAAATGTCCAAGAGATAATCTCCAGTTTGAGCTCCTCCACATGCAGCCTGGATGTACTACCCACTAGATTTCTGAAGTCTGTTCTGAGCAGTCTGTTACCTTCACTCACACAGATAGTAAACATGTACCTTCATTCTGGAATATTCCCAAAGGCCCTGAAAACTGCAGTCATCAGGCCCCTGCTAAAAAAGAGCAGCCTGGATGCTACGGTACTTAACAACTATCGTCCCATCTCAAATCTGCCATTTATGGGGAAAGTCCTTGAAAAAGTTGTTTACCTACAGCTTACTAGATTTCTTATATTCAACAACTCATTTGATATGTTTCAGTCCGGCTTTAGACCCCACCACAGCACTGAGACTGCTCTCGTTAAGGTTACAAACAATATCCGGCTGAACACTGACGCAGGCAAAGTCTCAATCTTAATCTTGTCAGATCTGAGTGCAGCTTTTGACACCGTCGACCATGAGATCCTCTTACAGAGACTAGAGGACTGGGTTGGCGTCGCTGGCACCACCCTAAGTTGGTTTAGGTCTTACCTTGAAGACAGGAAGTACTTTGTGGAGATTGGAAACTGTCTCCGATCATATTGCCCTGACCTGTGGAGTACCACAGGGGTCGATCCTGGGACCTCTTCTGTTCAATCTCTACATGCTGCCGTTAGGTCAATTAATACGCAGAAACAAAGTGTCCTATCACAACTATGCAGACGACACTCAGATCTATGTCTCACTGACTGCAGGAGAACATGGACCAGTGGACTCACTCCTTCACTGTATCTAACAGATCAGTGGGTGGATGCAAAACAACTTCCTTCAGCTAAACGCAGACAAAACTGAAATAATTGTCTTTGGTCCCCAGAAACAAAGAGAGCGTCATCTGTCACCTCCAGTCTCTCTCCCTAAAACCTTCAAACAAGGTCAGAAATCTAGGGGTAATACTGGACTCAGACTTAAATTTTAATAGCCACATCAAATCAGTAACATCAGCAGCTTTTTACCATCTAAAAAACATTGCCAGGATCAAAAACATAGTGTCTAAAGCAGACCTGGAGATTCTTATCCATGCATTTGTCTCCAGTAGGTTAGACTACTGCAATGGCCTGCTCACAGGTCTGTCCAAACAGGCTGTAAAACAGCTGCAGTACATTCAAAATGCAGCAGCTCGAGTCCTGACAAGAACCAGGAAGTACGACCACATTAGTCCAGTCCTCAGGTCTCTGCACTGGCTTCCTGTGGCTCAGAGAATAGACTTTAAAACAGCTCTGTTTGTATACAAGTCTCTCCATGGCCTCGCACCAAAATATATTAGTGACATGTTAGAACCATACGAACCAGCCCGGACTCTGAGGAGCACAGGGACTGGACTCCTGTTAGTGCCCAGAGTCAGAACTAAACATGGGGAGGCTGCTTTTCAGATTCATGCTGCTAAAATCTGGAACAGTCTTCCTGAAGATGTGAGACAGGCCTCCTCTCTGACAATGTTTAAAACCAGGTTAAAGACAGTTCTGTTTAGCTGTGCATACAACTGAGGGATTTTATATTTGTATCTTTCTTTTTAATGTTCTGTGATTATTTATGATTTTAATGCTTTCTTGTTTTGTTCAGCACTTTGAATTGCCTTGTGTATGAATTGTGCTATATAAATAAACTTGCCTTGCCTTGCCCTGCCATAACAAGAAACAACACATCAATAACAAAAATATCTTATCTAAACAGCTGTAATGACTGCATCTCTCGTCACGTACTGCTTTTTGGTGGATGGGAGGAAGCCGACCATCTCCATGGCCTGATGCAGCCTCCTGTACTCCTGCCCCAGACTCTCCTCATCCTCCAACTGCAAGTCGCCCTGAAATAAATCAACAAATGGGTTTGAGATTTTACCCTTTACATGTTTCACTCGTGTTAGTCCTTTTCTTTTGATGCATTTAATTTTGTGTTTGCATTGCATTTTGACAGGAAAGTTTTGAATATATTAGTATCTCATACGAAGGGAGTATTTGTACTCAGTGAAAATAGAAGCTTTTATTCCAGCTGAAAGATTAATTTACATTTAAGTTACATTACAAATAGTTTTGTTTTTGTTGTACATTCTGATAAAGGCTATAACACGCGATTTCCTCCATGATTTAGCATAAATTGTGTTAATTTGACATAATAAATGATGCAGATCTAACTGCAACTTGTGCCAAGGAGGATACATATTTTAAACAGCAAAGTGGAGCAATTAACTTAAACAAGAAATATTACAAACAATTTTTGGCCTTAACAATTTTTAAATGATATTTGGAATTGCATTTCCACTGAGACAAACGTAATACATACATACCATCTTTTACATTTTTACTCAAGAATGAAACATATAGACCACTTCAAAAACTATTCAATTCATTCGGATTAGGATAAAGAGAAAAATACCTGCGCCAATGTCCCAATGATAAACACTTTAATATAATTTATAGCACACAAGAAAAGTTAAATTTAGGCGTTAGAGCTGCTTTGGACAAATGAACTGGGCTGACAGAAGACAGAAACAGCTCTTCATTCAAACCAGACCAGGTCACTGGTCAAAATTTCAAATCAAATCAAACTACGTTTTGAAATAAATAAAACAGAGCAGAGGAAAGCTGCGAAGAAGGCATCTCTCGTCATGTACAGTGGTCCCTCATTTGTCCTGGGGTTACCTTCCAAAAATAACCCTCCCATAACCAAAACCCGTCAAGTTTTAAGGCTGTAAAACCCCTCACCCACATACCACCTGAACTCACGACTGCTGAAGTACAATTGTGGAGATATCACAACCTGTTCGTTGTAGGTGTGAGCAACTGCAGCTGTCAAAAGCCATGCATACACGGTAGAATACAACTGCAGAGGACATTGCGCGGCGGGGCAGGAGTCCTGCTCCTGAGGGCTACAGGAAGGCTGCAGTAGTAATTTGAACTAATCCCAGAAGCCTAAAAAGTCTTCTTCTGACTTTAAATAAAAGTAACTCATGTTATACTGGCGATTATACGGTATTGTATATGATGTTGTTGGAGTACGCAGCACTTGAGAATCATGCTGTATAAAAAAAGTGCAAAATTGCACAATGAAGTGAGAAAAAAGATGTGAACCGCATTATAGCGAGTGACCACTGTGCACATATCCTCTTTGAGATACCGTGGACCAATCACGCAATGGCTTGATTGGTCTTGAGTTTCAGAGAGCAGGGCATCCCAGTGGAAGAACCGTTTTACCTACAACTATCGTAACTTTTGCAGATGACGCGATTCAGAAGGATTGGTATACAAGAAGTGCCTCAATAAAAGTCTGCCCTTGGTGTAACCCAGATTATTTCAACATTATTGTAAACGCCTGGGAGAAATATTTCTACCATTTCTATATTCATCATTATTAAGAAAACGACTTAATCATAAGAAATACCACTTAAAATGATTTGAACATGCTGTCAAAGGAGCTCAGATCAGATCAGAAGTATCTATGTCGCACTAAACCATTGTTCACCTGTCTGAGGTAGTGGAAGTCCTGCGGCTTCTGCAGATGGAACTCTTTCTGTTCTTCTTTAGAAGCTCCGACCAAGAGATAGTAGAACACATGGTAGTTCCTACATCAGAGAACAAGTAGAAGTAGTATTAGACAGGTGGAACTTTATTGTAATTTTGATATATTATACATTTAATTTATCACCTTTCATTCTTGTCTCGTGACACCAAGCGAAACTTTTCAAGAAGGTACTTTTCAATAACTGCCCTGTAACAGACAGTGACAGTCTGTTCCATCAGTTCCATCTAATTCATACAAATACCAACTTTTATAGTTTCACATGTCCAAACTTTACCATGACAACAACATGTAATTTGGTCAATAATAATAAAAAACCATCCTTGGAACTTTGTGCCATACCCTCTGATGACTCCGCTCTCCAGATAGTTCAACTGGATAAACTTCCCGAAGCGGCTGGAGTTGTTATTCTCTTCAGTCTTGGCGTTTCCAAAAGCCTGTGAAACGAGAGGGCATTAATATGAACCCACATAAACATCAAATGTTATGGAGCTGGCACCAGACGATAAACAGCTTTGAATCAAACAGCCTTCTTTGAAGCCGTTTTGCGGAGCACGGCTTCAGTATAAATCTCACAAATGTGTTAGTCCCAACATGTAAGATTACACAAAAGAAAAAAAAATCCAAGCGTGATGTAAATAGTTTGATGTTAATTGTAAATAGAAGTGATAAGCCAAAAGCTGAATAAGGAACTTACTACTTGGTAAGTATAAAAAAAATGTATAGTTCACAAATGAATAAGTGACCTGACACAACAGTATTGAGGATTGTTTAAACTTGGTCTTGGCCATCAAAGGGAAACCACTGGTAAAGATATAATCATAAAGTTTAGCAAGGCATCTATCACAAGTTTGTCTCATGAAAGTTTGCTTTTCTCGGATTATTTTCAAAGGGCCATTGGATCATTGTGGTGACATAACTCGTTTGTTTTTAACTGCAGCTAAAGCACAAGTCCAAGAAAATTCTCTCAATAGGACAATACTGTATATCATTTTGTAATTTAAGCATATATTACAAGAATATTACCCTAAGACATAATAAGGATATAAATTCCAGTAATTATTTTCATAATATGACACTAAAGTGGCCGAGTCATCATTCCAGTGTGTGTAAACAGTGTGTAGGTGTAGGGTTAAAGGTATACAAGAGGATTTTCTACTTCCGGGTGGATCATCAACACTATTGGTCCTCCCAAATGTCAATCATTCTGTTTATACGTCCTTGTCCTATAAGAGCAGAGAGTTTTGTTCAAAAAGTAGAAAGGGCGGTTCTTTCCTAAAATATGGGAAAATCCTCCTTTATACCTTTAAGTCTTGACAAGACTAAGCTGCACATCAACATTCCTAAAATATTCACTCAATATATTGAAAATGAACATGTGGAAAGAGAAGTCTTTCATGTTATATTATTCTATTATTAAACCATGGGCCACTGTTCACTTGTCTGAGGTAGTGGAAGTCTTGCGGCATCAGCACGTGGAATTCAAAGTGGACAACAATGATAATGAGAAAGATAGAAAAAGATTTGAAGTGGAGAATGAGGAGCAGGTGTGTGGCAAGTTCCAACACGTGGTTCTACAAAATGCAACGTGGGTAAAAATGTGAGCTGGCTTTTCAGGCTGCTTAGACCAGGAAACCCGACTTCTGTTTGTAATGTAGCTCGCGAAAATTCAATTTGGTAGACGTCAGCCAAAAGCTACCCCCTCCAGGCCGGTTCGCTTCCCCAGCCTATCGCTCGGCAAACGCCCCCTTCCAATCATCCGTGCCGGACAGGCAGCCGCTTAAAAGCGGAGCAACTCCCACTCTCTGCCTTCTCGAAGCCTCGCAAGCTCCTGAAGCCTTGCAGAGAATCGTCTGGAGGAATCGTTTTCGTCTACTTACGCTACTCGGCGCGTCCCTGGCGTCCTCCGTCTGGCTGCTTGTGGTCTGCTCCTCCTCCGCGTCCCTGCACTGGTCTGCTCCTCCTCCGCGTCCCTGCACTGGTCTGCTCCTCTTCCACGTCCCTGCACCTGCTGTGGTTCGCATATCTCCACTGCTCTCCTCCTCTGCGGGCTCTTTCTGCGGGCTGCTCCGCGGGGCCCTCCGCGGGTTTCTGTGCGGCTCGTTCCTCGTGGTCTGCTGCCGCACGCAGAAGGTCTGTGCGCGTGCCGCGTTGTCCCGTTGCTTTCCCAAGTCTCCTGGCATGTGAGTACAGTGAGTGTGCTGACCGCGGACAGATTAATCCCGGAGTTCTGGGCTGCAGGCGATTGGTTTTTGCCCTACGCACTTGACTGCAGGCGCCAGTTTTTTTTCGCCCCGAGCTTGGTCTGCAGGCTCCGTTTCACATGTGTCTGAGCTAACCGAGGGGCAATGCATATTAAATGGCATCAATCTCTATCGTCTGAGGGATATACGAGGAGCTATGTGCATTAATTCAGATCATGTTCTGCCACTTGCAGTAAAACCATGCATTAAATAGCTAGGTCGCTGGTATTAAATTAGGTAACTAACTGCAGTGTTGCATTTTGAAAGTGCAGCAGGAAGAAAAAGGGCCAAACGTGAATCTGCAATGGGTGTGAAGTAGTGTTGGAGCTATGAACGCATGGATCAGTGATCGTTCATGCGCATCTGCCATAACCAAAGCAGAAGATGGCTCCAGGGGACGTCTGTTATTCGCATGGGAATGTTTCGGATTCGGGTTGATTTATTCCCTCAGGCTCTTAAACAACCGTGGGTTGGTTCTCTGACCGCCGCTGCTGCCGGTCCCCGCTGCCGTTCCTACTGATGCCTGATCCCGCCGCTGCTGTTCCTGCTGCCGCTCCTGCTGCTGCCTGTTCCTGCTGCCGCTCCTGCTGCTGTCTGTCCCTGCTGCCTGCTCCTGCTGCTCCTACTACTACATGTGCCGCTGCCGTTCCGCAGGCTCCCAGGCTGCACCCGTCTCTGTGGCTCGGCTCTTTCAGACACGTACGTAACCTGGCTCACGGAGACAAGCGGCGCACGCCGGCGTGACACGTCTGTCTGTTCGTATGAATCGCTTTGTGGTGCTGCTGCTCCTGCTAATGCTGCTTCTGCTGCTTCATACTGTTACCGCTACTGCTGCTACTGCTGCCGCTGCTGCTTCATACTGCTACTACTGCCGTGCTGCTGCTGCTTCATGTACTTCGTCATCTCTCTTCACTTCGCTTCTCTTACTGAAACACTAAACAGCTACAACATATTCTACTGCCGTGGCTTTGATACAGGGTTTTGCCGTTATTATCTACGGATGCCAGCAGCTGCTGCTGCCGCGGCTGATACAGGTCGTTGCCGTTATTATCTGAGGTTACTGCCGCTGCTGCTACTGCTACTGCTACTGCTGCAACCCACTCTCTCAGAAGCTTATCCTGCTTCTAATGGATGCAGCCCGGCCGAGTATGCCGCGCGGCACTGGACTCGCACCTATGCTCCCAGGGTCACTTCGGCGGTCGTGCTTCATCTCTCTACTTAATCTTCTGATTCTATCAGATGCAGCTGGCCGAGTAGCTGCGCTGAGCCGTCAATTGGACTCCTAATCAAAGGCATCCATACCGTGTTCTTCACTCTTCTGATCGCAGGCTCCCCATCATGCTGCCCATCCTGCAGCGGCACTGAACTCCGGCTCATCTTCCAAGTACATGTCTGCCCTCCTCGCAGCATCTTCCTGCTCGCCTTCCATGGCTTCTCTGCATAAGCGTTCACTACTGCACACTCAACCTTCGTGCGGTCCGAGACACGGCTTTTCCCGACCATCCTACTATCCTGATTATCTACTCTCCAACCCAAGATTCTAAGCGTAAGGGCGCCTGCAACTTCATGGCCCTCTCCGATATGTCTCTGCCCCTCCAGGTCTCGGCTTCTACACGGACGTGCCCCTTCCGTGGGTTTTGGGGGGTTTATTTCCAGGACCATCGCGGCCTCGCTGGGGCTCCCCCACACCTCTCTGCAACAGCTGGGGCGCCGGTCCTCTGCGGCTTTCTCCGCCTACATCAGGCCAGACGCGTCCGCTATCCTGCCTGCACAACGTCAACTGGCTTCCTCGTAAGCTCCCAGCAAAGCAATACGAAGCAAAGTAAGTGATCCAATAAGATTCTGGTGGCGGCACGCACTTCTCTCAAACACTCTCCGCTGCCGCAGCGTCTGACGGAACGTGATGCGAGCGCTCACGTTCCCAGCGCGCAAAGACAACCCCGCCGCAGCGTCTGGTTAATTGTGATGCGAGCGCTCACGTCCCAGCGCTCAAAGATAACCCTGCCGCAGCGTCCGGTTGATCGTGATGCGAGCGCTCACGTCCCGGCACTCAAAGATAACCGCATATAACGGTCACAGCACATAGTGATAGCGGTCATAGCGTTAGTGATAGCGGTCATAGCGTCAGTGATAGCGGTCATAGCGTCAGTGATAGCGGTCATAGCGTCAGTGATAGCGGTCATAGCGTCAGTGATAGCGGTCATAGCGTCAGTGGTAGCGGTCATAGCGTTAGTGTTAGCGGTCACAGCATAGCAAAAAATGGTTAGCGCATAAACGGTTCACAGCATAGAGATAGCGGTCACAGCATAGCGATAGCGGTCACAGCATAGCGATAGCGGTCACAGCATAGCGATAGCGGTCACAGCATAGCGATAGCGGTCACAGCATAGCGATAGCGGTCACAGCATAGCGATAGCGGTCACAGCATAGCGATAGCGGTCACAGCATAGAGTAGCCACGACGTCTGTTCCCTGCAAACCAGGCTGCAAAACTCCATCAACACACTCAGCCTTTTTGGGGATTGTACGCGCTCCATCGCAGGAGCCTCTCCGATCTGAAGGCCGCACCGGGGCCTAGGGCGCCAAACCACCTCAATAAATACTCAAAACCATTTTCGTTTCTCGTCTCTCCAAATTGAAATGTAGCTCGCGAAAATTCAATTTGGTAGACGTCAGCCAAAAGCTACCCCCTCCAGGCCGGTTCGCTTCCCCAGCCTATCGCTCGGCAAACGCCCCCTTCCAATCATCCGTGCCGGACAGGCAGCCGCTTAAAAGCGGAGCAACTCCCACTCTCTGCCTTCTCGAAGCCTCGCAACCACCGCCTCCCCTCCTCCTCCTCTTCACCCTGCCTCCAACCTGCCTCCAATCTGCCTCCAATCTGCCTCCAATCTGCCTCCAATCTGCCTCCAATCTGCCTCCAATCTGCCTCCAATCTGCCTCCAATCTGCCTCCAATCTGCCTCCAATCTGCCAAAATGCCGCCACCAGTGCCTAGGTCCCGGGGGATTGTACGCGCTCCATCGCAGGAGCCTCTCCGATCTGAAGGCCGCACCGGGGCCTAGGGCGCCAAACCACCTCAATAAATACTCAAAACCATTTTCGTTTCTCGTCTCTCCAAATTGAACTACTATTGTGTGTATTGTAACAATTGTTTCATTTACAGTATACATTGCATAATTTACTGCCATGTCTAAAGTGCGTTCAATGTAACTTGACTCTAGTCGACCAATTTAGAAAATATTTACATTCTTTATTTATTTATTTATTTATTTATTTTGAACCATGCACAATACACATTTTTACATATATCGATGCAGACAGATAACCCGTACCTGGTTCGAAAAGGAGTTGGATGAAGCAAATGCTTATTGGGTTCCAACCCAAAGTGTTTAACAATATCATGCAGTAGAATTCTTGAAAATATGACAATACATTACAACAGTTATACAATACTACCACCGATGGTATAAGACAGACAACACTAAACACACACACACACACACAGGCCCAAACACACTCCGACCCTACACCTCTCACCCACTACTTGCTCTGTGCTCAAGGCATCACTCTCTTACTTCCACATATTTGTTCAATAAATCTTTTTTAAACATTCTTTTAAATGTGATCAGGTTTGAGCAGGTCTTTAATTCATCTGATAAATCATTCCAAACAGCTGCTCCTCGCACTGAGATACACATTGATTTTAAAGTAGTCCTACATTTAGGCACATACACTTTTTTACTGCCTCTAAGAATGTATATATCCTTTCCTGTTTAATTAAGTTTCAGTAAGAAAGATATATCTTGTATTCTCATATTTATTAATAACAACCTTGTTTTTGCTTTAGTCATTTTGCATAGAGCTGAAGTAGGACACTTATAACTAATAGTTGAGCTTTTATCACGGCCCCAAATGAGTCGACCAATTGATCGACTGCTTTTTCTTTGGTCCACTACTAGAAATAACATGAAGTGTGCCTTTACATAAACACACTGTTTCCATTCCGGCATGAAAGGAAATCAGTACGTGTACTTAAATGATGAAAAATTCTGCAGTCCGGTCTGCAGACAGACCCTGAATGCATATTGACAAATGCAGTGTTAAAGCAATGATACTTGAATGTTAAAATCAATAAAGACAAATGAAGTGTGGGACAGCGCTCTGCTAATGAAGCATGAGTTTATGTGCCGCTCTTTCACTTGTGATTACATTTTCTTCCAAAACTTTTATAATGAGAACAAATCAAATGTGCCGCTTCTTTCAACTTTCCACTAATGTGTACTACACTTTTATATTATATCTTCTTAAGCTTTTTTTACTTGAGCGGTAAAGGAATTGGTTCTGGACATAGTGGGGCCTTTAGAACGAAGCAGTGCAGGTCACCGTGAATTCATTTTAGTTCTATGCGGGACTAGCAACACGGTTCATCCCGAAGCGTTACCACTAAAAACAATCAAGGCCAGAAATGAATGCTAACTGTTGTTCCAAATGTTCTCTCGAGTGGGGATTACCAAGGGAGGTTATGACGGACTGTGGGACATAACTCATGTCTAGATTATTACGACAGGGATTTATAAGTAACTAGTATTAAGGGACTTAAGACCACCCATACCACCCCCAGAACGGACGAGGCTAGTTTGAGCGGTTAGAACAAATTGAAAAATATGGCTGCAGAAAGTTTGTTTCGAACACAGGCGCAGACTGGGACAGTGGTTGCCGTACCTGTTGTTTTCCTACCGCGAAGTCCCACAGGCCTCAACGGGGTTCACTCCATTTGAATACTCTATGGACGCCAGGTGAGGGGGCCGCGTGACTTACTCAAAGACTACTGGGAGAATCAACCCCTCGGGAGAGAACGTGTTGGGCCTATGTAGTTAAGATGAGGCAACGCTTTGAGGAAATGTCTGAGCTGGCACAAGAGAATATGAAGGACTGCTCAACAAAACCGAAAGTGTGGTCCGACCGCCCAGAGCCAGCGAAGAAGCTTCAAACCAGGTCAAAAGGTTCTCCTTACTCCTTCCCACCTCGATAGCAAGCTCCTGTCTAAATGGTATGGCCTATGAAATTCACAAAAATGTGGGGTGAGCTTCACATATGAACTGGTTTATGCAGACAGAACCAAAAAGCATCAGACCTTATGTGAATTTGCTGAAAGGAACTTTTTTTCTCGTCCAGTATCTGTCCCTCAGCTGTTGATCCGGTCTGTGCAAGGACGCAGAAACCCCAGAGAAAGTTAACCTGGAAGTCTGGGTGAGCAATCTGTGGTCTGATACGTCCATCTGTCTATCTCTCAGCAGAAAGAGGTGACTTTCACTCATTGACTCAGGCTCTTCAAAGAACCTCTGGTTACACTGGACCTGGTACAGCACACATCCGGCTGAAACTGAGGCGCCGCCACGTCAGAAGAGCTACAGACTCCCGGAGCGGACTAGTGCCAGTGCTGAAAAGGGAAATCGAAATCGATGCTTGAACTGGGTATAATTGCGTTATCCAGTAGTGGAATGGTGTAGTCCAGTGGTGTACTTGTGACCAAAGAAAGATGACTCACTGAGATTTTGCATAGCACTTTCCGTACCTGAATTCTGTTTCACTGTGTGCCCCTTACCCAATGCCCAGGATTGATGGGGAGCTGAGGAGCGAGTGGGAAAAGCCAAATACCTCACCACCTTAGACTTGAGCACAGGCTACTGGCAGGTGGCGCTGTCTCCTGAGGTCCAAGAATTGACGGGCATCAGAATCCATTTGGTATGATACCAATTTCGAGTTATTCCATTTGGACTTCCAGGGGGGGGGGGCGCCCAGCCACTTTTCACGACGGCTTATGGACAATGAGCTGAGAGATGTTTCAGCGTTCGCGGCGGCATATCTGGCGATGTCGGTATCTACAGCCGAAACTGGGACGAACACATGGCTTCATCTCAAGGAGTCTGAAGCGCATTAAAGCAGCTGCAGCCCTTACTCTTAACCCGCAGAATGCTGTTTGATGCGCGGATAAGTAGAGTACCACGGTTTGTGATCGGCCAAGGGAGCTCCGACACGGTGGGGAAAATGGAGGCAATCCTTTCCGTTCCCGTCCCCAACCAAAGAAGAAAGGTAAAGAGTTTCCTCGGTCTGGTGGCTGGTACCAGAAATTTGTTCCTCACTTTTCAGATTGCTCGGCTGTTCTTCATGATCTCACCCAAGCACGGCCCCAAGAGAAGGTGAGATGGAGTGATCGCTGTGCCCAGGGCTTTCAGAGATCTCAAAGAGTCAATTAATGAGCACACATTCTTCAAACCCTGATTAAACCAACCCTTATTCTACCAACTGATGGCATCAGAGAGTAGGTCTGGGGGGAGTTTTTGATGCAGGAGGTGGATGGAGAGAGGAGACCCAGTGGCCCTTTTTAAGTAGAAAACTGCTGGACCGAGCGACAAAGGTATTTCAACAGTAGAGAAAGAGTGCTTGGATCCTGAAGTGGGCAATTGAGTCGCTGAGGTACTACTTGATGGGGAGTATTCAGCTTGGAAACTGACCACCGTTGCCTCTTCAGTGGCTCCACAAGATGAAAGATCAAAACCAGAATTGCTGGGTGTTAGGCTCTACAGCGTATAACTTCATGTTTACTACAAGCGCGGGCAGTGCATATAGTTGCTGATGCTCTCTCCAGGAATCATGAAAATTTAGAAGGGCTGCAACCTTAGCGAGGGGGGGAGGAAATGTAATGTAGCCAGAGTCATTATGGGTGTGTAACAGGTGGAGGGGAAATGAGACATAATTGTTTTCAATACAGTTTATTAAAGATTGGGTTTTAATGTAAAACGTGCAAACTGTAATACTCACCTTTTTGTTTCATGTTTGTCTACGCACCTAAAGAGGGGTTCCGGGTGCATCCCACTCTGCAGAGAGGAGGGGTGTCCTGGGTTTTATTTTGTGACTTGAGTAATGGGGTAGAAATAATAAAACACTGCTAAATTATAAGAGAATATTTTTGTAATTTGTCGAGGATATATGCACTGCGTTAATTATTGCTGTATTTTTTTGTGTATTTTGGAGCTGCAGTGAGTGTGGTCTAATTGCTGTCACCTAGGCTATAAAAGAGGCCACCTGCTCTGAGTGAGAGCGTGCTGGTGGACATGCGGTCCTGATTTTTAACACAAAAAATGTAACATACTGTAAATAACCTCACGGATCTGCCACTGGAAGTGCCTCTGCGTAATTTGTTCCTCTAACATCCTCATAAGTGCCAGCCTGCCATGACAGTGTCACAGGGGGGTGGCAGTCAAAGCTGCACCCAGTACACAGAGCCACCAGCCCCACCTGATCCTCCTGCAGGTGGTGAGTCCACAGCGCTTGATCTTTCAGCGGGGACTTCAGGCAAAGTGGGGTTAAGTGTCTTGACCGAGGGACACAAGACGCAGTCTCAGTGGCGCCTTTAGGACAAGGCCATTCTCCACTGCGCCTTTTTATGTGTTCTCATTTACATGCATGTGTATCTGCAAAAGCTTAAAGATATAACTATCGCAGCATGGTTAACACAAAGCAATTTGCTTTATTCAGATGTTTAATTTTTTTTTGGCAATGACTTTTTAGTGACTTTATTTTACATTTCTCCAACTGGCTTGAAGTTTCATGTGAAGCTGAAAATTATTTTTCTGTCCAGTGGCAAAGCTTTAGAACTTGTTTCAGCCTATAAGCCCCATTTCCACCAGCCCTACTCGGCTCTACTCTCCCTGGTTGTGTTGCCATTACACTTTAGTAATTGGTACCATATCCAATCAACAAACTCGCAACAAACCAGTGTCCGTAGAAATTCCTTGGTAACCATGGCTTCCAGTAGCCAAGAGTTATTCCATGATATCTGTGGGATTTTTGGACCATTCTTTCTTTACAAAAGCCTGACATATGTCTGGGCTGTCAATCATGCACTGCTCTGTTGGGGCCGATCCACAAACGTTCTATTGTGTTTTAAGTTAGGAGACACTGAGGAGTCTTCATACATTTTAACTTCCAGCTTCTGAATCCCAGAAATCACTTCTGCAATTTGGAACAGGAAGTCAATGAGCCTTTTGTTTTGTTTTTCATAAACATTGCAGCATATAGTGAACAATATCTAAAATGATTACATTAAAGGAGATATTTTATGCAAAATTGAGCTTACGCCATTGTTACAACATTGCTCCCTCCTCCAAAGCAGACCTGGTGTTTTTATATTCACCCACACTTTTATCAGGAACTTCAGGCACAAACTTGCCTCTACGGAATATCTACACAATCTTCCTAAATTGTGATCCTCAGGATTTGGTGACGGACACTCGTGCACGTGTAGCAGTGACAAAAACAATACAAACATTTTACAGATATGTAACTGTTTCTCTTTGGACATTCGTGAGAAACAGGAGACTTAACTGTAGTGATATGAGAAATACAGGATGTTTTTCTATATAATAAAAAGTGCTTACACTTTTACAATCTTAGATATCTCTGCAAAGCTTTTGTGGCCATAATTTGTCATTATGAATAAGTTTTTGGCTTAAATATGGCTATTATGAAGTAAGCCATCAGTATGTTATGAAACTCAGTTTCAGTTTTTCTCTATTCTTTCATCCAATCACAATCTGGAATGTGTCATTGTGACACAGACTGATGAACCATTGACCCAACATGAGTGTGAGCCCAAGTTTCCATTTTGAATTTCAGCATTAATTCCCATTTTACCACTATGACATCACACTCAGGCATTTCCGTCTTATGAAACAAAAGTATTTTCAGGTGAATGAATGTCCTTTACCTCCAGCTGGTAATTTTTGAATTTGGAAATAAAAATGACTTTGGTGGTAGCATAGGGAATTAATGGGCAGAAAGCTTTTTTACCCTGCATACTTGTTTCCATAGATTTTTACCATAGATTTTTACTCAAGATAGTATAACATATTTAAAAAATGTAAATAACAAATTAAATGCTTTCATAATACATTTTTATCGCCAAAATTATGCATCTTATTATTTCTTCTCTTTATGTTGTACTTCCAGTTGTTGCTGAGTGATGCTGAGCTGGGCCTATGTGGTTCAGGATGAGCGCTCTGAACCGTGCCGGGACTCTGGACCATGGCCCCTCCGAATCCCGTGTGGTCCAAATCTATCCCCGACCAACCCGGGACCCCGCCACATACTGTCCTCTACAGATCACTCATGGCGACACGGCTCGGGCTGTCGTCAAAAATGCTGTTCTGATGCTGGGCCTGGACTCTAATCAGTCTTACAGACTGATAGAAATCAAAGAAAATGAAGAGGAGGAAAATCATTTGGACTGCGACGACTTCCCATTGGATTCGGTACTACTGTGGCCTCCCAAAACTCAAAAATGGCATTCGAAAACCAACGGCTACTACTTCATCCTGCAGCAAGTCCCCAATGGCAAAAGTAAAAGCGACGAATATGACGATCTATGCAACCTTGCTGAACTTACAGAGGAAAGCATCACGGAAACTTTGCGTCAACGCTTTTACAAACTCAAAATTTACACTTATACAAGCCGCATCCTCATCGCCATCAACCCCAACAAGTTCCTGCCTGTTTATTACAATCCCAAATACATCAAAATGTATGAGAACCAGCCACTGGGAAAGCTAAGCCCCCATATATTTGCCATAGCGGCGGCTGCCTATAGGAACATGCTGAGCAGCCAAACAGACCAGTGTATTGTGATTTCTGGGGAGAGTGGATCAGGGAAGACGGAGAGTAGTAGTTTTTTGGTGCATTGCCTGACAGCTCTGAGCCAGCAGACGTACTCAAGCGGACTGGAGAGGATCATACTGGGAGCAGCACCTGTGTTAGAGGTAAGATTTAAGACGAGGGGATTTTGGGGGCAGGGAGTGAGAATTTTTCAGGTAAAAGTGATGTTGCGATTGTAAGTTATCAATTCTTTGTTTAAGTCTAGATCCCATATTGCCAAAAGCAGGGAGAGAAATCTGAATAAATCGAATAATCTGCCTTTTTGAAATTAATAGTTGATATTTGCGCCTTAGTGCGGTAATTTCTCAGTGGGGTAAGGTTCTGGTCCTGCTTCTCTGGGTTGCCATTGTTTAGACTAATCTTGCAACCTAAATGTAATGTAAAGAACAGTTCACACGGAGAATGTTTCCAGACAAAGCACATTTGTTATATTTGAGATTCAGAAAAAACTAATTGAGCCTAATTGTGACTAACTAGTGACAGTGCTGAGTGGCAATGTTATTGTCAAATGGTCCTGTAGATTGATGCTGTCATATAAGCACAAGCCAGAGTTCAGTGTGTCTGTTACAGTGATATAATGTATTTGAATTCTTGGAGAAGGTTTGTGGCTGTAACTGATCCATAACTGATGTCACATGTCGTCTGTAATTGTCCTCAGCCCAGTTCACCAACTCTTGGACAGTGATTGGTTACAGTCAGAGCCTAAATTGTTAATTTGATGAAACTACAAAAGTGGGGCCTGTTGGTCAAACTTTGCTCTCTTGTTTTGTCCTTTGAGTCTCCCCCTTTAGAGCCCCAAACTCGGCTCTTCTCAGTCAACGTCAGAAAACTGTGATGTAACCCTGCTGCTTGTTTACCCTCCCTTAATCACAATGCAGCCTGTCTTTGTGCCAGTCACATTATTAAAAAATCATTTAGGGGAGGACTTTGTCAGGTTGTGTGCATATTGGGATAGTGATTACCAGTTCACCTGAAATGTGCCTCATATGCATACTGTATATATGAAGTACTTCCACAGTATGCTTTTATATATATTTAGTCAGCCGCCAATTGTGCAAGTCCTTCCACGAAAATGATGAGATGCCTGTAATTTTCATCATATATATTCCTCAACTTTTAAGACTTTTTAGTTGTGGGAAATAAGTATTTATTCAAAAACAAAAGTTAATCTCAATGCTTTGATATATATATATATATATATATGTATATATATATATATAATGTGTGTATATATGATATAATATAATATAATATGTGTTTATGTTTTCACAAGGTTTTCCTACGCTGTTCTTGGTATTTATGGCCCTTTCCTCCATGCAGATCTCTTCTAGAGCAGTGATGTTTTGGGGCTGTCGCTGAGCAGCACAGACTTTCAACTCCCTCCAATGATTTTCTATGGGGTTGAGATCTAGAGACTGGCTAGGCCACTCCAGGACATAAGTATGCTTCTTATGAAGCAACTTTTTTGTTGCCGGGAAGTGTGTTTGGGATTATTGTCATGCTGAAAGACCCAGCCACGCTTTATCTTCAATGCCCTTGCTGATGTAAGGAGGTTTTCACTCATCTCACAAAACATGTTCCCTTTCATTCTTTCCTTTACACGGATCAGTCGTTCTGGTCCCTTTGCAGAAAAACAGCCCCAAAGCATGATATTTCCACCCCCATGCTTCACAGTAGGTGTGGTGTTCTTTTGGATGCAACTCCGCATCTGTCCTCCTCCAAACACAACGAGTTGAGTTTATACCTTAAAGTTCTATTTTGGTTTCATCTGACCATAGGACATCCTCCCAATCCTCTCTGCACCCAACTGCTGTCTAGCAAACTACAGATGGGCCTGGACACGTCTGACACTGCGTCCAAGGAACACCATACCTACTGTGAAACCTGGGGGTGGAAACATCATCTTTGGGGCTAATTAACCTGGACTTCTGTTATTGACTAAATTGTGTTTAGTTGGAATATCTGTCACATTGTTTTGTAATTTTTGTGGAATACCTTTGATGAAAATACTGCCATCTCATCTTTTTAAGTTGAAGGACTTGTACAATTGGTGGCTGACTAAATAGTTTTTTGCTCCACTGTACACTAGAAAAGGCCACACGTATTTTGTTTTTGAATAATTGTGTCCCATTTTTAACATACCGTGTCAGCAGTTCATATTGTGAAATATAGTCTTTTAATCCACTTCCTTCGATGAGGATGTGTATATAAGATGCCTAAGGAGTCAGAACCACATGATGGTCATGAACATGTCAGGTCTGGCTGGTCCAACAGAAATCATTATTGACATTGTCTTTGAGTTTGTTGACTGTAAATCATTCACTCCATTTCAGTTGTAGTCAGTCAGGAATTGCAAGCATTTCAAGCAGGGGTGTCCAATCCATCTAGTAAAAAAGCCACTTTAGCTCGCCACAATTATCCAGGGCCCGGCAACATGGATCGTAATTGTTTTCACTGGTTCCGATTTTTAAGATGAAGTATGACATGTCCATATTGATTAACATTTGAGCCGAAGTTAACTAAAGACAAATGTGTTCTATCTCACCAGCTGCATTACTGCCATATTCCGAATGCTGTGACACAATAAAAAGCAAATTTAGGTATATATAAATAAAGTTAAGAACTGATTCTGAGATTTACAACAAGGTATAACATGCTTTTATTGGTGAAGCTGAAGTAGTGGCTGGATGACACTGAACTTACAGTTATAGTATAGACAAAATATATGGTTCCAAATTGAGTTTGATGAAGTAAAAGATGGTATAATTCCAAACCCCCATCATCAATTCCACACAATACCATGCAATAACAATGCCATTCAGTCAAGTTTGGAAACAAATTGATGTTGGCTTAGTTTGGACATGCCTGATGATTTAAAGTGATTAGAATAAGGTCAGTAACAGTACACTATCAAACCATGATGATTCCCCAAATTGTCACTGCTGTAGATGGGGAAAAAAACCTAATCAATTCAATATGTTATTTGGCATATAAATATGAATAGTTCATTTTGCGAAAACGAATAAGTGCCATTAGAAAAATATTTTAAAAAGCTTATCTTTACCAAGTTATTTTTTTTTTTTGAAATGCCAGATATACTTTAGTACCACACACATTAAGTTTCAGATTTATCATTTCAGATTATTGGCATTACATCATTTCAGATTTAATGCCAATAATAAACATGTTGAAAATATACACACATGATTTTGAAAAGAGAGATGCCTGCTTTTGCAAATGAAGTCTTTAAATATGAAATCTGCTACTAATATTACTACTAGAGTGTTACTGATGGGAGCTCCTCACTTACATTGCTTCTTAGTTTGAGTCGTAGAAGTAATGTAAGTGAATTGTAGAGCGATGGTGGATAATCTCAGAGCACAGTGTAAATTCTAAAACCGAGGCTTAAATAACATTTTGCCATATCACTTTCGTACACATGCGTTCACTGTACTGTCCTGTGGAATACAGTAGTAATCTAGCAACAGCATCTGAAGAAGTCCATCCATCCATCCATCCATTTTCTTCCGCTTTATCCGTTGCCGGGTCGCGGGGGCCGCAGTCTAAGCAGAGACGCCCAGACTTCCCTATCCACACACACCTCCTCAAGCTCGTCCGGGGGGACCCCTAGGCGTTCCCAGGCCAGCTGAGAGACATAGTCTCTCCAGCGTGTCCTGGGTCTTCCCCGGGGCCTCCTCCCGGTGGGACGTGCCCGGAACACCTCCCCAGGAAGGCGTCCAGGAGGCATCCTGAACAGATGCCCGAGCCACCTCAACTGGTTCCTCTCGACGTGGAGAAGCAGCGGCTCTACTCCGAGCTCCTCCCGTGTGACCGAGCTCCTCACCCTATCTCTAAGGGAGCGCCCAGCCACTCTGCGGAGGAAGCTCATTTCGACCGCTTGTGTCCGCGATCTCGTTCTTTCGGTCATTACCCACAGCTCATGACCATAGGTGAGGGAGGGAACGAAGATTGACCGGTAAATTGAGAGCTTTGCCTTTCGGCTCAGCTCCCTCTTTACCACAACGGTCCGATACAGAGACCGCATCACTGCGCACGCTGCACCGATCCGCCTGTCAATCTCACGCTCCATCCTCCCCTCACTCGTGAACAAGACCCCGAGATACTTGAACTCCTCCACTTGAGGAAGGACCTCTCCACCCACCTGGAGAGGGCAAGGCACCTTTTTCCGGTCAAGCACCATGGCCTCGGATTTGGAGGTGCTGATTCTCATCCCAGCCGCTTCACACTCGGCTGCAAACCGTCCCAGTGCATGTTGCAGGTCCTGGTTCGTTGGAGCCAGCAGGACGACATCATCCGCAAAAAGTAGAGATGAAATCCTGTGGTTCCCGAACCGGACCCCCTCCGGCCCCTGGCTGCGCCTAGAGATTCTGTCCATAAATACAGTGAACAGAACCGGTGACAAAGGGCAGCCTTGGCGGAGGCCAACATGCACCGGGAACAGGTCTGACTTACTGCCAGCAATGCGAACACAGCTCTGGCTCCGGTCATACAGGGACCGAACAGCCCTCAGCAGAGGACCCCGGACCCCGTACTCCCGGAGGACCCCCCAAAGGACCACCCCGGGGAACGCGGTCGAACGCCTTCTCCAAATCCACAAAGCACATGTGGACAGGTTGGGCGAACTCCCATGAACCCTCGAGTATCCGATGGAGAGTATAGAGCTGGTCCAGTGTTCCGCGACCGGGACGAAAACCACACTGCTCCTCCTGAATCCGAGATTCGACCATCGGACGAAGCCTCCTCTCCAGTACCTTGGAGTAGACCTTACCGGGGAGGCTGAGGAGTGTGATCCCACGATAATTGGAACACACCCTCCGGTCCCCCTTCTTGTAGAGAGGGACCACCACCCCGGTCTGCCACTCCATTGGCACCGCCCCCGATCGCCACGCGATGTTGCAGAGACGTGTCAGCCAAGACAGTCCTACAACATCCAGAGACTTTAGATAGTCAGGACGGATCTCATCCACTCCCGGCGCCTTGCCACCATGGAGGCTGCCAACCACCTTGGTGACCTCGGCCAGGGAGATGGAAGTATCCGCCCCAACATCCTCAGCCTCTGCCTCCTGGACGGGGGACGTGACGGGGGGATTGAGGAGAACCTCGAAGTATTCCTTCCACCGCCCGACAATATCCCCAGTCGAGGTCAGCAGCCCTCCACCCGCACCATACACGGTGTTGGCAAAGAACTGCTTCCCCCTCCTGAGGCGCCGGACGGTTTGCCAGAACCTCTTCGAGGCCGACCGATAGTCATGCTCCATGGACTCTCCGAACTCCTCCCAGTCCCGGGTTTTTGCCTCTGCAACAGCCCGGGCCGCGGCACGTTTGGCCTGCCGGTACTGGACAGCTGCCTCAGGAGTCCCACGAACCATCATTGCTCGATAGGACTCCTTCTTCAGCCTGACGGCATCCCTTACTGCCGGTGTCCACCACCGGGTTCGGGGATTGCCGCCGGGACCAGCACCAGAGACCTTGCGACCACAGCTACGAGCCGCCGCATTGGCGATAGAGGAAGAGAACATGGTCCACTCGGACTCGATGTCCCCCTCCTCTGCCGGGACCTGGGAGAAGCTCTCCCGGAGGTGTGAGTTGAAAGTCCGTCTGACAGGGGGCTCAGCGAGACGTTCCCAGCAAACCCTCACTACACGCTTGGGCCTGCCAGGTCTG